CCCCCCCCCCCAATGCTGTTCCCGTGTTCCCACCACAACAAGCCTAAAAATCATAATAAACAAGCCCATCATCAACCACAACACGACCATCACATCGCACACCCCTCCACCCCTCCCCCTTCATTATCTATCCCATCGCTGCTTGTTGCACTTATCCAGCATATCACGGACCACTCGTGGCCTCAATCTGCTTAACGATCATCGCATCTTGATCGCATCGTCTACGCGACAACAGCCATACCCACATCTCCCTCCCCAAAAGCCCTCTTGTCAACATGTCAGGCGCAAACAGCTGGCTGCAAAGGCAGCGCAAGTCCGACCTCCTCGAACTCGCCTCAAACGTCGGTCTGAAAGAGTACGTGGTCTAATTTTCTTCTTCCTCTCCCAATTATACGACTTCAGCTAGCTTGACGATGTATTGCGCTTGGACGAGATGCGCTGTTGCGTGGGACTGGGCTTGTCGCGGCAAGGCGTGGAAGTGGGAGCTCGAAAATGACGATGCTCTTCCCCACGCAATGCGGCTACAAACCTCGCTATGCCACGCGATGCATGGAAAAAAGGCTGCTGCATCACGAAAATAAATCCAAGACAATTGCTAACATGCGCTTTTGCACTTATCCAGGACTGATGGCCTCAAGAAGGGCGATCTCGAGGTCCAGCTCGACGAATACCTCGCCGAGAATGCTGGCCAATTCTCCTCAGATCCCAAGCTCGCCCCGTACTTTCAGAGCCGCGCAAAGGCTATAGGATCTCCTGTCAAGAAGGAAGCACCTGTCGCCGATGCGCTGAAAGTCACCAAGCGGAGAGCAACAAAGATCGCCGACGATGTCGCCGCCGCTGTCTCGTGAGTGTGGTCTATTTGCGCGTCACAGCGCGTGTAAACAACAGACAGGACAGCCAACTAACATCCTCAAACAGTGGCGAAGAGTCATCTTCAACTGCCGTGGCTCGCACCCCGGGACGTGCTCTGTCTTTGGCTAGCCGTATCCCCCTTCCCGCCACGCCGGCTGATGTCGCTTCAGCGGTTGACCGCGGCACTATCGCTGTCCGGGAACGCGTCGCGTCCATCTATGCCGACTCCGGTATTACCGAAGTGACCCAGGCGACACGCGAGACTCTCTCCACGGTGACTTCCGTGCTCTTCTCCGTTGCCGCTTTTGAGCTGTACTTCTTGCGCCCGGAGATCCTGGCTGACCGCTACGCGTTCACCATCCCGGCCATTTCGCTCCTCGGCACATCTGACTACCCGGTTTACGTGCCGGATATGTTCCTGCTCCTGACCTCGTCCTTCTGGAACCCGGTTCTTCTGTGGGCTTTCACCAGCGTCATCGTCCCCAGCTTGTTCGGCTACTTCTTCAACCTGTCCGCTGCGCACCATACTAGTGGACGCGTCACCCGGGCTCGAAGCAGCCAGCCCGAATACGTCGTTGACCCATTGACCTTCAGCATTGTCAAGGCAGTGCTGACCTACGTTGTTTTCGCCCAGGGCGTCAGCTTCTGGGGCTTGGTCGATGACCTGTCCGTCGCGCGCATCAATAAGGCCATTTATGGCGGCTGGAAGGGCGTCCTTGTCGGCTCTGCCATCACCGGCCTTGTGAGCGTGTATGACGCTGTGCTACGGAAGTAGATGCCTCGCTCGCGACTTCTGGGGGCGTACCACGCCATTGCATCTCCATACGAGCTCAAAGCTCGTGGCAATCAAGCTTCATAAGCTTACGACTGACGAAGACAAGTTTTGTTGACGTCTCCTAGCTTCCCGTGGCAGCAATATATACCATTGCGCTAATCTGGTAGCCGCTCCTAGCTGCCGCCGCTACTTTTACTGGGGGAAACGAATGGCGTTCACGGCGTTCCTGGCGTCATGGCATGGCTCCTCTTCGCCTGATACCTCCTTTTCCTGCCTAGTTTGTCTTAAATATGGCTCGGCCGCACTTGCACTCCCAACAGCATCTGCTGCTGGGTGATTTGGCTCCCTCGTGAACTCTCAGCCAAGCAACAGGGTCAAAGTCTTGTACATGGACGGTTTTTTGGTCCTTCTCTCCAAAGTTTTCGAAGAGGACATGCTTTTTGGTTTCAAGTTTTTGATTTCCATTCACTGGTTTTTCATCGGTGTCGAGTACGTTGCAATCCACCACATAACCTGGGGGAGAGCTCAAAGGGAGGAAAATTGGGTAGGACGAAAGATGAGTTGGATGACTTTGTCTAGATTACGAGCGAACGAGGGCAGAGGACGGGTTCGACAGGACAGAGGAATATATTTTGCATTTTGCTTGTTCTTGAACGAACTTGTGCATCATCTAGTGAACCCCTGAAATATGCTATTTTGCCAACACGGGTTATCATACGGCGTGACCGTCAGCCGGCTACAACGCTATCCGCAGTGCTTGAATCTGGCCTATGGTTCGGTCTTGCACCCATGGTTCAAGTATGATATGACAAAAGTGTATCTTCCATTACCGTTTGAAACAAAATAGTAGGCGTACGCTTGAATTTCAGGCATCAACCGCATGGGCCAGATATGCCACGAGATCGGAAACGTCCTCGTTCTGCCTCAGCACTAGTGTTCCTAAGGTAATCGACGTCCGAGACAAACTGCTTGTAGTCCCTTTTGCACTCATTCGTGCAATCGACGTGCAACTGATGTGCGTGAATGGCAAGGGCGTTGGCATCCACCTTGCCTGGAAGCGCGCAACTGTAGCTCTCGAAAGAAGTAATGTTCTTCGAGAGCGATGGGTCGCGGTGATCGTCGGAGAAGAACGACACTCATATTCATCTTCAGCCTCAGTACGGTGCGTGGGCCCGTCTATGAGTCCGGATCAAGTTGAGAGATCGCCCCCTTGCGACCGTGTAGAAGATCAGGAAGCCGGTGAAGACCAGCGCCACGGTGGCCAGGCCGATGAGCACATGCAGCTGCTGCCGCGCCGCCTTGTTCCCAATCAGCCGGTGCCGCCCGTCGACGTCCACCTCGCACCACAGGATCTTGATCCAGGACCCGTACCCGTCGCTCGTCAGGACCTGGTCGTAGCTGTGCGTGCTGGCGCACTGGAACCACGCGTCCGGGTCGCCGTCGCGCGGGAAGTAGACCACGTCGCGGTCCCAGCACGCCAGCACGGCGATGGCGGCCACCCAGCCGGCGGCGCAGACACTGTCGAGCGCGATGACGGCCCAGATCGAGTACGGCAGGGAGATGAAGCGGGCTACGGCCACGTAGACCTGGACGACCATGCCGACGGCAGTTATCGCGATAGTCACGACCTCTGCTGTGACCTTGGTCATCTGGGATGGCGTGATTGCGCCGTACGCCATCATCGCGATGAAGTTGGCCATGAGAAGGATCCGGAAGAAGAGCCCGCCCACTCTGGGCTCTCTGTTGCGGAAGCCCATGTTGCTGGATTGAATTCAGGACCAACGGCGGCTGCTGGCGGATCTTCGCGCTCCAAGTCCTACAAGTGTTGTTCGACGGCCACTGGCTGCGGTCGGTCGTCGCTGCTATTCCCGGCTATGTTGTCATTCATGAAGGTTGAAACAGCGAAGTCGCCGCGAACTTCGACTCCCTTCTGTTTTAACTTTGAACCTCCATCATGTCCAATTTCAGCTATCTCAGCTCTGCCCCGTTAGCGGAGTTTTGGGAAATGCCTGACGTGCCGAAGATCTCCACTTGGTTGGCATTGCCTCACCTCAAAGTCCGCAACGGCCGGTTTAGGTTGAGCGAGATATCTCAGCTCTGTTCACGTGGACTGTGAGGAGGAGATAGTTGGAGTAGTACAACCGGTCTTCCGGTCCGGATATACTCGAGCCTAACCCGGGTGATGAATCTTGGGCTTGTCCATCATGAAGTCCGCTCTTGTGAACGGAATGCGGCGCTCATCGCCATGGTGTATCCGGTTCAAACCTGACTCGTAAGGTGACCTGCTGACTGCGCTCTTTTCAGACGAGTGCTGTGCCGTAGGCTTCGTCTCGACCACCCACGCTGTCAAGATGTCGTTATTCTGGTTTGCCGGGCAAGTCCTGAGGCCTGATTAGACAGCTCGTTGTGACAATTGAGCATGCCATTGGCACGCCGTGTACATCTTTGGCATATTCTCATGCGGCTGCTAAGTTATTACTTGTGGCCATCTTGAGTCTGCATGCAAACAGGTGTCATTCGCCTCACGCCTGCCTCCACTGATGGAATTCTACAGCACTTCCAAGTCGGCACTTTTGCAAATGTGCAAATGGAGGGAGGCCGTGGTCTGAACACTCTGACCAATCGCGCGACCGCTTATCGTGGGCGCAATATCGATAAAGGGAATTCCGTCACAGCTAAAGTGCCGCCGTAGGGCCATTTTGAGACAAATTCCACATGGCCCCGGTGACGTATATTCCCGCCGTAGCCTTAGCCTTAGCGGCGCATGCCAGGGCAAGAATGACATTTGGGCTGGCGTGCGTGGCCTGGCCCCGGGTCCCCTCCCCTTGGTGGGCAGCAGCGGCGTTGTCACGGTGCCTGGCTGGGCTCGAGATGCGACGGACAAGACCAGAGCAGAGCAGAGCTGAGCAGAGCAGTAGCAGGAGTATCACAGCAATTAAGTCCCGAGCATTACGTCTGTTCGGATGACGGCCAGTAAGAGTTTGCGATGTACCTGGACTGCTGACCTGCTTTCGTACTACTGTAAGCAAAGGCAAGATCTGAAGCATGTCATGTATGCATGTTCCCTTAGCCTACCTTAGGTAGTCTACATGTACTTGAGAAGCATAAAGGGACAGACGAGGGGAAGTCCCCCTGTATTTGGCGGCTGTGTTTCGGGTGTTGGAGGGCTGAAAAGGAGACGCGGAGGTTTATGGTGGTGGTGGTGGTGCGTATCCTTGGTCATTCAGTCATCCTTCCAGGCTGTGTGCCCTGATGTGTGCGCAGCGGTTTCTATTTTTCGACCATAGATGGTCTCTTACAACCATGGACCTGGCCTGTTTGGGGCCGACCGCGATACAGTAGAACTTACGGGCACGACTTGGGGGTTTGATTGCAGTTTTTTTGGGTTTATGCGACACGCCCGGGTGGATGGGGAGGATGGACGATCCAATCAGCCGGCGCATTCCTGCCTCTCAGACCAACTCCAATCCAAGGCAGGCTGGCTATTGATGTTGATTATGGCGATGATCCTTGGTTGCCAGACCATCCATCGACTGGACAGGTAGGAGGTAAGGCAGCAAGAAGAATGGTGCCTCTAGTCTACTCGTGGTAGTGTTGCTCAAGAAGTGCCTTTGAAGCAAGGAACCGGTGGCACTTTCTCTTTCGAGATATTCAGGCTGCGAGCCAGAGCCGGAGCCAGCAGATCTGGGATCATCGATAGACACGATGCTCGATGCTCGATGCTCGGTAAGTGGAGCGGGCCAAACACACCCCCTCGCATCAAACCAAACCCGGCAGTGCTGTTCACATCACCAACTGCAGTGTGGTGTTAGGCAGACTTTCTCGGGGCAGAGGGAGCGTTACAACCAGAATTGTAGCCCCTGTTCATATCTTACTTGTCACTTCAGCACATGCTGTTATAGTTCTCGATAGCCAGTAGAAGAGAAAAGGCTATGTATAAGTTCCCCTCTCAACCGTCCATGTCTATGTATTGCGTGTCGCGATCTGTCCTTAGACTAATTATAATAAAGCGTCTTGCCCAGCGGCGCATGACCTACGACGACGCAACTCAAAACTTCCCCTCTTTTTAAGGGTAGTTGGAGATCCCTTCGTCATCCCCCGCTGATCGTGATTAGCACCAGCTTCCCGGGCTGCTTGTTTTCCTTGCCAAGGAGCCGTTCGGTTAGACCCAGGCCCAGCCCAGGTGCAGCAGCAGGCAGGTCCAAGGCAGGTCTGGTCTTGTCTGGTCTTGTCTCTCTCCAGTTTCGACCTAAACAAGAGGCGCGACGTACGGACAAACAGCCAGCCAGCCAGCCAGCCACGACTGCCGCCCAAAGTGAAAAGAGAGAGGCACAGAGCGAGAGGCGACTCGCGCGTGCATGCCCTGGAACGACTCGTAGCCTCAGGGACAAGAATAAGGAGCGACGCATACGCAACCCATAAGTGGCAACCGTTCTGACATATCTCTGGGCTCTGTCCACCCTGCATTCTTATTATTACCTGTGCCTTATATCTGAAAAAGGGGAAAGCAGCACTGTACCGCACTAGGTAGTGAGCTGGAAAGGCACGACTATCTATTTACCTTATATGAGGTAGCAGCAGATCTCGAACCTCCAACTCGATCGCCAGCCGTCAAACTTGCACATCGGTGCAGCTTACCTATCTACCCGCTGGAAATTGCACGGAGCCGCCGGCACGCTCTTGATCTGGAGATTCGAAGCAGGCGTGACTTTCATTTTAGGTAAGTTGGTCGATGCTAGATACCTTACCTTACGTTATGTGTTCCCGGGTAGCACAAACAATATACGACACGAAAAAGGCGAATTGCGGGCAGGCAGGTTCCAGGTCACAAGGCCGCCCATTTTCGCGATAATCTCCTTCCCACACCATCATCAATCAATTCCCCCTTCCCATCCGCCCACTGCCCCCACCGTCACTCGTAACCGGAAATGGCAACCCTGTCTACAGTCAGTTGACACAAGCTCGTTTGCTTGCCTTTAGATACACGTTGTTGAACCACTGCCGCCGCAACCACCCTCTTTCTCCTCCATCGTCGATCCGGATCTAAGACACCACCAGCCCACTACCATACTCACCCATCGCATACCCCGGGTTCTCGAACGTTTCACCACCACGCCTACCACGCCTTAACATCCTCTCCAGCGGACACCCACAATGAGTCTCGCCGGCTCAACACCGCTGCAAAGCGGCAAGGAGCAGAGTGATGCCCTTCCCAGGTTAGCCGAGCCTTTCCAGCCGACACCGTCACCAAAGAGCGACACGACCCCGCGGGCAGCCAGCGGCACCGACGTCACAAACGAAGAGCTGGACAATGGCAAGAAGCACAAGAAGCGCGGATTGTTCGGGTTCGGGAAGAAGAAGGTGGAAGACCCTGTCAAGTCGCCCTCGAGCTTGTCGGATGTACCGTCACCCAATCTGAGCACCACAGCTGTCAAGGACGTTCCCATAAGATCAACGGCGACTTCGCCCGTTCATACTGAGCACTCAATTCCCATCATGCCCTCGTCCCCGAACCGCGGCCTCTCCTCTTCACCGCGGCTGTCATCACCCGCTGGGAGCCAAATCTTCGAGCGCGACGTGCAGGAAAGCGCGGTGCTGATCCCTAACTCGCCCGCTATCCCGAGTCACATTACGACCGAGAACCACATTCCCCCAGTTCTCGATGCCTCGTCTGAGGCCATTACCGATGACCACCTGAGCCCCGACACGGTAGAAATCATCACCCACACTGGCCACCAGCCTGCTGCAGTAACCGTGACGGGAATTTCTGACCAAGCGTCCAGCTCCTGGACCGATGATCTTGCCAGCTTCGCCGCGGACAAGGAAGATACCGCGTCCAACTATGGCAGCTTCGACACCACCGATGTGCGAAGACTCAGCTTCATCTCCTTCGCGGACGTTGTACAGGCCGAGCAGGCGGGTCACGCAGGCCATGCCGGCAGTCGCGATTCCGTGCATCTGGCTGGCCTGACAAGCCTTGCCAGCATGGGTGTCAACAGGTCGCCATCACCTATTCGATCACCCATCTCGAGCGCAGGCGGCCCTGGTACCTCGCCACCGACAAGCAAGTCCGGGTCTGTCAAGGGCCTTGAGATGTCCCCAAGCAGAAAACCGCTGGGCAGCCCGACATTGTCACAGCATGCCGCTGGCACCACCGGCATTTCGCCAGCCGTCAGTGGAGAGCTGAACATTGAGACAATGTCGCAGGCTCTCAGGAGAACGGGAAGCACAGACCTGAGTGCAGTCCGCAGTCTGCCAACCAGTCCTGTGGAGGGCCCTTCTCGTTGAGGGCCATTGTTTGCGCGGAGGATGACGGCGCAGCTCCTACTTACCAGGAGCTTTGATTTTGCTTTTTTTTTTTTTTTTTTGGCCCATGGATAACCAATTCATCAGTGAGAAGATGTCAGGGAGGGCCTTTGGGAAACCCCGGAGTTTTGAGAGAGATATCAATTCCCCTTTTCCTTATCGGGCTGAAACGTCTTTGTTCTTACCTTCGAACACATGAGGATTGAAGCGGATGCTGTTATCTGCCTGCTTTTGTTACCGCCTGCTAGAGATATCAGATTAAGGAGTGTAGGGAGAATGGAGCCTTGTCGAGTCTGTTTCTTTTCATGACTGATGGCGGGGATGAACCCTTTTTCTACGATAGGCATGCAGAGGGCAGCGTTGACGCAACGTATGAGGTTGTACATTTTACCAATATACGGGATTTTCCTCTGCCTTACATCTCTCTCATCTGTCTCTATGCCAAACTCATGGACTCCGTGATATTTGGGATAGCAGACCAAGGCCCCGATGTACGGACGTGGTGATGATTCATTTGCGCCGAAATGAATGCCTCTAACACGCTAAAACAACTACCGAGGAGCTCATGAGATTCACGACAAGACTCGAGTGAGCAAATAAGGAAGCTGATAGGGCAGGAGCGGTGTGTTTACCTGTGGTACGGCCCCCCTTAACCGGACTGATGAGCGTTTTCAGAGACCAATGCCAGATTTCAAGAACCAATCTTACCACTAATCCAGCCCTCCTACCTCTTGTCTATTGGAGCTATAGGTGAGTCTAGCGAAGGAGTCATCTTTTCCACGTCCGACGGCCGGCCCGAGTCGGGGAGGCTGTGATTGGGCTTATCCGGGGGGTGCCGGTTGGGGCCTCCGAAGAACTCGGTCTGAAGCCGATTCTGGTACCGGCTGGTGCCGGAAAAGGCCCCGAAGTGGGTATCTCACTGGGCCTAAACGCAACTCTGCGGCAGTCAGATAACAGTGTCGGCCAAGACCTTGCCGATACCGCTGGCTGCCCACAAGATTTCACATTCCAGACCGATCTCATGCACCGATCTTCTGCTGCGAGATGAACTGGCAATTGACGTGCGGGTGAGGCCGTTTTTGTATAGGCACCGTCGTGGGTTGCAAGTCGAGGCTGCTATCTCATCGTGACTCGGGCAATTGGCACTCATGTCCTTCACCTCGTATCATGGGCCAGGCTATGACGTATCTGAACTAAATCTCGGTGAAATGCCGACAAGCTTAAGCCCAAAAAGATTACAGCGTTTCGCCGCCGACAGGACGAGCGGCAATAACGCGGAAGAGGGTGCCGTTTTTGCTTGCCATCAAGCAAAATCTTTTTCACTTTTGCCCAAACTGCCCACTGCCACTGACACCCAACGATGATCGTCCAGTCACCTTAGAGGTGATTAGCCTCCTAGCTTAACCTAGAACCTAGCATGAAAAAAAAAGGTCGCTATCAATGGGCCCGCCCCTGCCTCTAGTAGCATGCGAATAGAGTCTGCATACACACACCAACGGGGCTCTGTCCCGATCCTCGGCGTGTCCAGTGGAATCTGGGGGCGGGGGCAACTAAACCAGCTATGACTCTGCTAAATGGATGGACTCTTATCCAGAGATAGATATCCGTTACGGTCCTCCTCGTTTGAGGATCGTCTGTTTTCTCTCTCTTATTCCACTAGTCAATTGAGATCTCGCGATTCCCATGCGTGTTGCTGGTTCTAAAGTTGGACCACCACAACGCCATACGCTCTCTGCTCTGCGTGCGAAAGCTTTTCCGCGAACAAGACAGAACTTTCATATCCTCTAAAACGTCCCAAGAACGCTCTTCTATAGAAGTCCTTGGTGTCATTCGTTTGTTTGAGTCATAAGATACGACTCTCGCCTGCTATGCCCTCCCCACCACCAACTCCTAATCTGTAAAGCCTCCTTTCTCTGCCCGAACGGGCCCTCCGGTGATGATCAAGGGCTCGGATGACCACACGACCGCTGCCGTTGGCCAGACCCGGCCGCATCGGAGCGATGACGTCGAGTCCGGGGCCGGCAGCCACGAGGTAGGGGCCTCGTCCTCCTCGACGACCACCTCCGACGACAGCGGGTCCGTCAACAGCGAAGGCCGGGAGAGCCTCTCGCACATCTCGACCCATGTGTCACTCGGCCCGGACAACCCGATCGACCACTACAGCTCGTGCGTTGACATCCCCGATGAGGTGTACGACCGCATCCCGAACCACCGGAAGCTCATCATTGTGGCCCTGCTGTCCTACTGCTCATTTCTAGCACCCATCTCTAGCACGTCGGTCCTTGCCGCGACGCCGGAGGTGGCCAGCGAGTATAACACCACGGGATCCGTCATCAATGTTGTAAATGCTATATACATGTTGTTCATGGGCATCTCGCCTATCTTCTGGGGACCTCTGAGCGAGGTTTGGGGTCGGAAGCTAGTAAGTATTCGTGAGAGCACTCATAGACGGCTCATACTCTGCTAACATTTCCAAGATCACATGCACAACTGCTATTCTCTTCCTAGCATGCAGCATAGGAACAGCACTGGCACCCAATCTTGCGGCTTTCTTCATATTCCGTGTGTTGACGGCTTTTGAAGGCACTGCTTTCCTCCTCGTTGGCTCTGCCTGCTTAGGGTAAGTGCTCACCTCTGAGACAACCCCTTATTCAATGCTCAGCCGAAAGACACCACTAACACTTGACAGTGATATCTTTCGACCTACTGAACGAGCGACAGCCATGGGCTGGTTCTTATCAGGGACCCTGGTTGGGCCAGCTTTTGGCCCCTTTATCGGAGGAATCATCGTCACGTATGCTTCATGGAGAGTCATCTTTTGGCTTCAGACAGGCCTTGCCGGCCTAGCTGCGTTGGGCGCATTCACACTTCTACCAGAGACCATACATCACAAGAAGATTGACGACCTGGAGGGCTTCACAAAGAGGAGAAAGCTCAAGGTCTTCTGGGGCATGATCAACCCCATCCGCGTGCTACGGCTGTACCAGTACCCGAACCTCATTATCGTCGGCTTTGCGAGCTCCTCGCTCGTATGGAACATGTACGGCCTGCTGACGCCGATCCGCTACGTGCTCAACCCGCGCTTCCACCTCACGACGCCGATGCAGGGGGGCCTCTTCTACCTGGCGCCAGGGTGCGGCTACGTGATCGGGACCTTCTTCGGCGGGCGGTACGCGGACCACGTCGTGCGCAAGCAGATCAAGAGCCGGGGCACGCGCGTCGCCGAGGACCGCATGCTGTCGGCGCTGCCGTTCATGGGCGTGGTGATCCCGACGTGCGTGCTCATCTACGGGTGGGGCGTGGACCAGGACGTCGGCGGCATCCCGCTCGCGGTCGTCACGCTGTTCCTGCAGGGCGTCGCGCAGCTGTTCTGCTTCCCCAGCCTCAACACGTACTGCCTGGACGTCATGCAGAGCCGCGGCTCCGACGTCATCGCCGGCAACTACTTTGTGCGCTACCTGTTCGCCTGCGTGTCTACCGCCGCCTGCCTGCCGGCCATCGAGACCATCGGCGTCGGCTGGTTCCAGACCATCAGCGCGCTGTTCCTCTTCTTCAGCGCCGTGGGCGTCTGGGCTACGGTCAGGTGGGGCAAGGGGTGGAGGGACAAGGTGGACAGGCGCAGGAGGGCGAAGCGGGTGGCCAAGAGGGAGAAGGCGAGGGAGCAGCTACGGGAGCAGCAGGAGTTCGCCGAACACGAGGCTGAGATACAGGCGGCGGCGGTGGCAACAGCAGCCCAGCAGGAGCTTCACGAGGAGAAAGACGCACATATCGGGGAGAATGGAGACACTGCCGAGACCGCCGGCCGCCGAGAGGAGAGGATGGCGGGTGAAACAGACAAGACGAAAGAGGAGGTTTGATGTTGATGAGATGAAAACTAGGTTGGCTGACTGACTGTATATCCACGGATGCATACACTGCACTGCCGACGACTTGATGGATGATGATGATGAGGGACTTTGGAGATGGATGGGTGGACTGGCTTGGAAAAAGAGATTGGAGGGTTCCTAGAGAGACATATTTGATACCACGGCTGGGATATGCCACCTTCACCATAATTAATTTGGATGGATTTTGTTTTTCAAAAGGCTTCGAGCGCAGTCGAGACATTTCGCACGCAAAATATAGCTTGGCTGGCCTTGGTTGACGCATCCGTGACTCTGGATCCGTTGTATACTATATCTTTATTCGGGTTCTATGACTTGTTTCCCCAGCGCAATTTCTCGTTATCGTCGAGTAATTTGAGGGTTGATGAACCCAAGCCCTGGACCCCTATTTCTTGCAAGTCTTGGCATACGGCATTTGAAGATTGTTTAGGAGCCCCCACGAAGATTAATTAGTCCGCGGCAGTGCAAAGAGGCTCCACGATTCTATCCCAAGTTTTATGAGCCCAGGCGATCTTTGGTCTGAATAGAAACTCGCCCGTGTCGATCGTCCCCAGGCCAGCGGGTCACAGCTCCGCAGTTGAGCAGAATAATACAGCGACAACAGGGGAGACGGATTTTGACGTCATGGTCGGTCGATGTGCTTTGAATAAAGTGAACGTGCCCTTGCTTTTATTTTTGACAAATAGGTCAGATTTTCAAGCTTATTCGAGCATCATTCTGGAGTATGAAACGTGTTGGGCAGAGAGTGTGAAGAGCGGCGGACTGTCTCGGTCATCCCTATTCGGCACACAGGCTGTTTCACAAAATCTGGGTCCGAAGAGTGGGAACCAATCTGACTGCACCCCGGCCGCCGGACGAGCTGGGCGGATACCAGTGAAAATGCAAATTGTAGCCATGTACACATCCCAGCGCCGACCGGTGCCCCTTGCCCATGCAGCGGCAGCCGACGGTCGATCACGGGCAGTCGAGCGAGAGTGACTGGGTATTGTGTCTTGTTTTTCTGCGGGTACACCAAGCGGTCGTTCAAGGGTACCGTATCAGTGTGCCAGAATTGGTAGAATTGCTGCTAGTGTTAAGCGACTGATTGGGTGCCTTGGCACGCTTGGCATTGAGCCTCGCCGATCTGCAGACGTCCTGATACAGCCGAGAGCCCTTTCAAGCGCAACATGTGTGCGGTGACGAGAAACCACACGACCTTCCAGCGAGGCGACGCCCCCGGGGCGGGCGTGCGTGCAGTGCGGCTGGATAGCCGGTGCCAAGCCTCTGACAAGATGCGCATGGGGAATGCAGAGAATCTCGCTCAGCTCGCCGTGACTGACGAACGAGAACCAAGAGCGCAGAGCTTAGGAGGCATGATCGCCGTCGTCCATGTTCCGCACGCGCTACGTCTACTGCTCCAGGAACCACTCGGGTATTGGACATGTTGCTACTTCGCCACACGGGGATACTTGGTCAGATATGACAGGTGAACGGGTGCTTCTATATCCACGCCGCCATGCCTTTACCAATGGCCGCACCATTGCCATACAGTTATGAATGATACAGTCTACTAATGCACCGAATAGAGACGAAAACTGGACCTCATGCACAGTTGCACCTTCTCTAACAAATGTGACCTGACCCTTGAATCTACCTAGGTACTGTGATAGAAGGCAAGACTTCGGGCGTGAGAACCACTCACTGCGTGTTGCATACCTAGCCCACAAAAGTCTCAACTTCTCAAATACTGTCTTGGTTGATATGTTGCTCTAAATATATCGAACATAGGCATTGTTGGAGTTATTTACCAAGCGTGCGCTAGATCAGTCCCAAACCGTGATAGAAACAAAACCCGCATCAACGTCACGGCTTGGCATAATCTCCAAGTGCTTAACCGTCGAGAACGCGCTTTAGCTTGGGTCTGTCCGCGTCTCGAAGATTCAAGGAAGACTAAAGCGTGGGCGGCAAGGATGGGATGGTCAAGGGGACCTCGACACCTTCTCCACTGATCTTCTCAAACCCCTGGCACTAACACCCCCTTTCGTTATCCACATCATTGCAGCTCGTTATTCGGATGCCCTTTCTGGGAGGCCTGGCGACGTTGATGGCCTGGTCGTCCCTCTGCCGTTTCCCACATCTCATGTAGATCGGGTTCGACGGCCTTGTATCTGTTCGATGGGTTAGATCTCTGAAGACACAAGGTGTCCCGGATCCTTTGTTTTACTGCTCCTCTATCTTGTTCTTCAATCCGCCTCTCCCCATTTCTGTAGTCTGGATCTTCATACCAAACCCACACAACTTTGCTGTGTGCATCACACTCCTTCATTAGCAAATTCATTGAGAAGCAGCTTGATGCTATTCTCTAGTCGCTCACTACATACTCTTATTACTTTATCGTTTATTACAGTTTCATTTTGATCTTGACTGGCAGTTACATGTTGGGATAGATAGATCCATTTCGACTTTTACAGCATGGAACGAGCATCATGTCTTCCCAGAAGCAAGTCCGAGACATTCACACAATTCATGTCACAGAAGGTCGACCCAGTCCTACCGTTACCAGCACAGAGTAAACGCAAAATACGTGTACGGGCGTTACTGAGCCACTGCTTATACCGAAGGGTGATACTATGGCTATTCACAGTTGTCGTCCTGGTAAGCCTGGTGATGTGCACGAGTGGGGTTCCCACTCAAAGCAATGGGTTATTAGACTTAGTTCACTTCCACAAGAACGGGGAGGAAGGCAGTCAACAACAGCAACCACAACAACAGGAGCAGCAGCAGCCACAGAATGACAAGCCCGCCGAGAAGAAGCCAGAAGAGGAGAAGAAAAAGGATGGACCTCACTGGCTACAATATACTCAGTAAGTGTCGGTGATTTTGAGATGAAATCTGTCACTGACTTTGCCTCCCTAGTCTCGATGGGTATTTCAACGGCTTGAGGACACTGGTGTCAAAGAAAGACTATATACCCGAGTACCCCATTGAGGATGTTCACTCCCCGCACACCATCGCAGTTCCCATCAGCCCTGAGGTGCCCGTACCAAGACCCTATGTCCCTCAACCAGACTATCAGTCCTCCAAGTACACTGACAAGTACTACCCTGTGCATCAATGTTACCTTGACAAGGAGAAGACTGTTCCTGTTCCAGACTCCTATGCGTATGACGGCGTTCCTCAAGGTGTAGCAGAGCCAGCTTTGGGATCATATGACCTTCTGGGAATTCGCGATGATGTCTGCTTTGATCGGTTTGGCCGATATGGACCCTATGGCTTGGGCTACAGCAAGCAGGAAGGCGGCACCGACGCCGGTATCGACACTGAGAGTGAGGGCAATGAACATGTCTGGGCTAAGACTGGCAAGATCAACTACCGGAAAGTCGACTGGGGCCAGGCTCAGGAGCAGTGCTATGCAGCCAACAAAGAGCGCTTCATTGATGCCGACGAGAAGGAACTGGAGCAGTACGAGAAGGCAAGCAGTGGCAAGGCCGCTCAATACCAGATCTCGAATGGCCAGAAAGAGAAGAAAGAACGGATTGCGGTCGTCATCCGCACATACGTTGGCTTCAAGTGGACGCAGCACGCCATCCTTAACTTTCGTGCCATGATTTCAGAACTCGCATTGCGTTCAGGGGGCGAATACGGCGTTCATTTCCTCCTTCACGTCAAAGACAATGACCAGCCTATCTGGGCTGATCCGGTCACCGCCCAGAAAATTCTCAACGACAACGTCCCGACCGAGTTCCATAGCATGTGCACCTTGTGGTCTGTAGCGCAGATGCGCCTCTTGTATCCTGGCAAATTCAGCAAGCCTTTCGAAAACCCATCCAACGGCGATATTCACGGTGTGTATCGGTCCGCCCACATGCCGCTTCAGCACTTCGCCATGGAGCATCCAGAATACGCTCATTATTGGAACTGGGAGATGGACATGCGGTACACTGGAAACTATTATGAGCTATTTGACCGCCTCGGTGCTTGGGCTGCACAGCAATCCCGCGTCCAGCTCTGGGAAAGGAGCCAGAAATATTACATTCCCGGTTTCCATGGCAGCTGGTCCAACTTCACAGAGATTGTGGAGGCTGAGACTGAGGCTTCGGGCCGCCAAGCCATCCTAGGCCCTATCGTGTTCCCAGGCCGTCAGTCATTGCGTTCTGAAGAACATGGTTACAGCTTTGTGCCTGACACTTGCGCCCGGGGAAGCGACTTGTCAAAGTGTGGCGTAGGTGAAGATGCTGATCTGATCACACTGAACCCCATCTTCGACACAGACGAGTCTGGATGGGTCTTCGCAAAGGATGCGAGCGGCTACGACCTTGGCCTCCCGACACCTCCAAGACGGTGTGCCATTGTCACCGCTTCTCGCCTTTCTCGGCGTCTTCTGATGGTCATGCATGAGGAGACCTGGAGGATGCATCACGCCATGTTCTCAGAGATGTTCCCCGCATCAATGGCGCTGCATCACGGCCTCAAGGCCACCTACGCACCGCACCCGGTCTTCCTCGACCGCAGGTGGGAGCTCGAGGAGGTGGACAGGGCATTCAACGGCGGCCGTGACGGCTCTACGAGTGGCCACGGCAGCCCCTATGACCTGCGAAACGAGCACAACCATAAGGGCACCAGCTGGTACTACAACAGCGAGTTTGCTGCCCTGCTGTGGCGCCGCTGGCTGGGCTACTCGCAGATGGACGGCCGCGGTACTGGCGGTGGCCGCGCTGGCGAGGGCAATCTGCGCGGTGGTCTTGAGGAAGAGAGCGACCCCAATAGCACCGGCCGTATGTGCCTACGCAGCATGCTGGTGCATCCCATCAAGTGGGAGAATCCTGCAGAGCGATAGGGTTAGGTCACTCATCAACAGACCTTGCTGAGCAAAGTCACAAATTAAATTTCGATATTCTAGGGGCATTGACTAGAAAAAAGTTGCCGTTCCCTGCAGGCGTGAATGCCTACGAACGGATTGCATTGGCCGGGGCGCTTCAGTGGTTTTATTTATTTTGTATATCAACAGGTGACAGTCATCTTGACTAAGACTCCGTAGAGTGTCCGCTCTTTTTAGACAGCGACTGGGGAATGGCGTTAGTATTTGAGTAGTGTAGATCTACAATAACATAATTTATTTAACTCAATGAGTATCATCTTCGCAGCTATCGACCATCGGGGGTTTATTTAAGTGTCGTCTCGTTTAAGTTTTATATTTTCAAATAAACTCCTTTTAAGGAGGTTCAGGTTCACAATTGAGGTTGTTGATGTGTTCAATTGGCCGAAGCTGAGCTATCCGCGCTAAACCTTTTCGAGATTAAGGCAGGAGACACGTGAGGTCCTCAAAAAATTGTCCAGCTCAAGATCATGGACTTTTCTTAACTCGGACGACCAGTTGATGAACAGCTCACCTGCGACGAGGAAGAGATTGGGGCCAATTCATAATCAACCATAAAACTCCTCCGAGAGGAGATTGGAATTTTGGGCTTGTTGATTTCAGTCCCTCTGTCCCTCTCATCGGCCCCCTTTCTTTCTCAATTCAGTAGCCGTTCCATTCTCAGGATGGAGGCACAACGTCTCCTGGGACCAGCATCACGCTGCTGTCTCTCTTCCTCGCGCACACGCCTCGTGCAGCAACAAGCCGGCGTCTTCCAGCTCGCCATCCCGCGACGAGAAAAGTCTACATCAGCGCGAACAAAACGAGCTCTTAATATCCGGCCGCATCCGTCCTTCGTCGCCGACGAGGCACAAGATCACATCATCTTCAATCCGCCATCATCAGCACCCTCCGTCTTCCACACGCCCTTCAAGTTTCTACCCAAAAGCGATCCTAGGAGGCGCGCCAACCTCACCGCACTCTTTGGTCGATCTTCGACAATTGCCTACGACACTGACCGCGCGTCTGTTGCCCTACCGCCGACAGTCCGAGCCGAATCCAAGGTGCCACGACACCACCTCACCAAGCAAGATGTGGAAGAGATACGGCATCTAAGAGAGAGCGATCCAGACACATGGAGCGTCAGTAAGCTCGCCCAGAAGTTTAACTGCGCGCCGATGTTCGTCATGATGTGCTCCCAGGCGACTGAAGAGAAACTTGCTCAACAGAAAGAGAAGGTCGAACTGGTCAAGGCTCGCTGGGGACCGATACGGTCAAAGGCCAGGGAGGACCGAAGTAGGCGGAAGGCTATGCTCTACCGTGGAGAGATATGACCACCTCATCAGTTTGACAAGAGACAAAGCAACTTTCAGCATTCGCTTGTCATCTGCAACTGGTTAGAAAGACAGGTCGATCGTGTAGGAAAGCGTGTTTGTAATGTGTGTACATTGAGCAGCACCAATTGTATATTACAATAACCGAGAGCACAGCAGAAGGACGGGCATACAGGCATTTTCGTCGGCGAAACCCCGACAAACGGCGTCAAATCATGGCCGGGTGGCTATAGATCTGGAGACACTCCTCCAATCCTATGTACAATGTATACCAATTCAAATGTGTATAAGTCGCATGCAAGCTGAGGGACAAATTGACTCCCAATATTATCCCATTGCAGTACTTGGAAGTCTACCTGTTGTCACTGTCGTATCGTTGCCCTCTATTCCAGATCCCCTATTTTCATGATCCAATAACAGTATGTGCCTAATCCTGGCTAGCACCCCTTTTTTTGACTGCCATTACTTAATCCAAGCTATTCCGAGTCCCGGGGAGAATGATAAAATCAAGAGGTCTCAATTCGAGGCCTTCTGCTGTTCTCTCTCGCGGCGTGCTTTTGCGTGCTCTTCATCCTTCTTACTGGGAATTACCCTTGAGCACCAGTCACACCAACTCCTGGCCTTGCCGCTGACTTCGCGACCCCAGATCTCGCCTTTGTTCTTCTCGTCCGCCCATTCCGGGACGCAGGCGCCTACCCGCACCATCTTAACTCTCTTCCGTTTCACAATGCCACCGATACCTTCAATTTCATGCCTGGCATATCCCGGCCCAAGAGCCGGTGACGGCGTTCTCCTACTTACGGACCCCGCGACTGCATCTGGCCAACCTGAAGGCGGTGTACTGCTATGTACGCTTAGGCTCTGCAAGCTTTGCAGACTGGACTGGCTGCCCCAACTGCTTGATCCTGCGTATAATGCCAAGGGAGACTGCCCAGACGGCGTCGAGCCGAGTGCAAACTCCTCTGCTTCCCTTGCGTCCTCGGCATCGCAGTCTGTCTCTTGCTCGATATACTTGCCTTTGATACATTCACTCTTGCGAGCACACTCAACACCGCGATCTGCGTCCCCAATACCGGTGCCTAGTCCGCCGAGGACTTCACCGTACTGATTTCGCCATTTCCAAACCCTAGTTCATGTTAATACGACCAAAAGAAAGAGTCAGAGAGCACAAACCCCTGGTAATCTGCATCATGGCCACGAATGCCCCTTCCACAGGGTTGGCAGAGCCAGACCCCTTCGCTCTGGCACGTGCATATCGCTCGTTGCATCTCGTCTGAGTCAAGCGCCGCGTGTGCTCCCATACGCGGCCGGACGAGCATTCCGATGGGGGCCTTCGAGCACCCATTGCAGAGCCGACGGTGCCTATCTCGCAGGACGATGGGTGCCGGCGGTTTTATCGCACAATTCTGGTCCCAGTGATGAGCATTTCCCCTTATATTCTGTCGTATCAACTACACGTGCACTTACTCTGCAGACGACTGTTCCGCATCTCCGACACTCTGACACCTTGTCCCGCGCACACTGGCCCGCCTTGCCGCTGTAGCTGCCGGCCCGCGTCGTGTCCTCCATGTAGAACCAATTGCCAGCCCTAGCCCTGTAGCGCAGCGTCTCCTCGGGGTCGACGGGCAGGTCCTCGTTGGAGCAGTGCAGGGTCGACTTGATCAGCATGCTGCGGTACTGCAGCAGCCCGGCACGGACCTGGCGGCAGGTGCGGGACAGGTTGTCGAGCGTGTTGAGGTCGATGTCTGCGGCGATGGCCATGACGATACTGGTGAAAGCCAGTCAGTGTCTCCAGTCCCAGCCTCCGCCCCTCCTCTTTGTTAAAGGAGAAAGGGGGAGCTGTCGGAGAGGATTTGATTGAAGACCAAAAAAACTAAAGGGGAAAATAATGCAAGGTGTGTCCGCCTACGGATAGCATCCCAAAGCCTCCGTCGTCGAGTTCTGGTTTAGGTTCTCTCTGACGGCGAACTCGTGAGCCTCCTTGCGATCGTCCTTGTCCTTCTCCAGGGCAGACGGCGCCGTCGCATTGTTGTGGCCGTTGAGTGTGCCATTCCAGATGGGCTTGAAGAGGCCGGGTTGCGGGGGAGGATCGACGTCGTCGTCGTCTAAGTCGACGAACACAGCCATATTGACGTCGTTTCGTCAGTAGGTCGATATGGCGGGGCAAGATAAGATTGATTAGGGGAGGAATTGAAACGCAAACGAGACGCGATTGTTGGAAAGATGAAGTAGATATTGGGTTTCTACATTGAATAATACGAGGAGAAGGAATGGGGAGGAGCAGGTTGATCGTGGGTGAAGCAAGACGCGGGTGTCTTGTGCCTCTGGATAGGATAGGGGAGTTGTGACGTCTCGTAGACCTCTACGCCGCCCTTTACGAGTCTAGTAGGCAGACTGACGTGCCGGTGCCGCAGCGCCATTATGTAAAACGGCGGGGTGGGGAGCCCTGGAGGAGGCCACCTGCGCACCGCCGCGCCGGACCCGACATTGACCTCGTCGCTGCACCGAGTTCCCATGTGACGCCTTGATTCCCCCTAGTCTCTGCTATTATTACAGTAGCTTCCTCCAAATCCCACGACATGCCTCTTCACCGCATACCTCCTGCTACAGGAATTAGACGCACCGACCCTACATGGCCCAGGGGTTTCGGTCATTTGACGTGAGAATTTGAGCCAGACGTGGAAGGGAGCCGAATGACTCTCGAATCGACTTTCCTCTTTGGCGGGCTAACGATGGCTACTGTAGTACTGTCGCATACGACTGCCTTCCTAGTCCAGACTCCCAGGACGGCGCCACGCCTTGTTATTGCCGGACATGAGCGCTTGTGCCAATTCGCCTTGAAAAGACGCAGAACTCCGCTTCTCTAGCTACACTTGGAGCTTCGAAGAGCGATGCCGTCTTCGGTCTCAGGCACTGCGTCCTCAGACACGCGACCCGCAGAAAAAGACCATTTGATGGCTAAAACTCGCAATCCTGTGGGGGACGCGCCTTGCTGGAGCTTCCCGGATCCCCTTACGTACCGTCAAGTCAAGCGGTCCCACTCCGATCTTATCAGATCCGCATCTTCACCATCATGCCAAGTCGCGTGCGCCTGGACTATGACTATGAGGAACTGAGATCTGGCTTCATCGAGTCTTTCGTCTTGACGTTGGCACTTGCTTGTTTCGAGATCGTTGCTGTCGACTCCTCGACGCCAACGCGCACCAACTTGGCTCTCACGGACATCCGTCTCCGTCGTACAGCCATAGGTTGGCTCTCCAAGTTTGTCCTTCCCAATGAGTTGAAGATAGTGTTTATAAGACATCGTTTTTATGATGCATGCTTGTTGCCCTAGGTACCCTTGCAAACTAAGGCAGGTACATAGACGATGTCTCGGCCCAACAAAACTTGGGGTACCATGCCCATGGAGCCAGATCCCGGCGTTGAGCTATTATTCAAGATTAATGGCGCAAAAGGTATCAGCTGGATCTGCAACATTATCTATGACTTCAATTGTAGAGCCTATCCGACTATCATGGCTCGCATTATCGACGTTGCTGGCCTTAGCATAGAGAATGAAGGACTTAGACCCCTGGAAACCATGGGATGGTGAGCCGTGTGAGCAGCGCTGAAAATTCATTCCGTGCACTTACATTGTTCTTGGTTGTCGAGTGGCAGAGTAGGAAGCCAAATCCCCTGAATTGCTTCTGGAAGCCGTCCACGACTAGTGTCCGCTAAGTAGCCGTAGTGTCCTACACCGCTTGTCGAGACTTATTCCTTTTCTTGTACGTTCCCGCTGGAGAATAAGCGCTCCAGATGCACCATATGGACATCTAGTGTTGCAGTGTCTCAGTCCCTGAGAAGACGTTGGAACATCCCGTTGCCAGCATCACCCCAAGAAGTTTCTAACTATACCTGCGGTACTTTAGCTCGCTATGGACTGTTCCTTCCGATCGTCTCACGTATCAGCACGTCGGCATAGGAACCCTCTTAGCTCAAGAGAGTGCGGGTCTGGTCATGGTAGATCTCGAGTCTAAGAGCAGGATTCTGAGCAACTCGAATGTTTCAAATTGATGTGTAGAAAGAGTAGCTGAGAATTCTCGGTCTTTGCAATTTCATTTTTGTGATTTGAGAAGCAAATACCTCCCTAGACCTTTGAACCTAGATGTGGAGCATGATACTGCTTCCCTGCCTGATTGCCCTGCATTATAACATGGACAAAGGAAGGGGCTGAACACCAACGCGCGGTTGGGGTTCTCGTCCCGATTCAGTATCAGGATGTTGCTTATTCCAGAAGCACTAACTCCTCTGAGGCAGCCACCCAGCAAAAACAGCAATCTCACTTGAGGTTACTTCTGTTGCCGGAGCCAAGGGCCACCGAAGATAAGAAAGACGACCGCAAGCGTGGTGGTCGTGCAATTTTTTTCAGTCAACGATACCCTGTCTTCGCCGCTCCCACGACCGAAGGCTGCGGCAATAGTGTGAGACTGTTGTTTCTAGCTCAAGGCTACTCCCGTAAAAAGGAACGATGCTTGTCATGGGACTTGCCGTCGTCGTACGGAGACTTCTCCGGGAGGCCTGTAATCTTGCTTCTGCCCATTCCCCGGGCGCCATCCCAATTCCCGGTACGCGCTTCTGAAGCATGGATATGCTAGATTCGCGATCAAAGGATCAAGATTTGGCGTTGTTGACTGATGATATGGTAAGGAATTTCGGTGTACCACGGTGAGAGATGGTATATCATTGGTGCGAATTCACGAGTTCTCCGTTTAGTCTGAACAGAACAAAAAAGAATACGGTGCAAGACTCAGTTGGTTCTCTTCTCTCATTAGAGGGTGAAACCTCTAGACATTGGATCCTTGTCGACGATCAACACGCCCCGTTACAACGTGTCAGAACAGTGAAATCCAAGAGGTTCTAAGAGATGCGAAGAGGGAGTGTCGTAAAAGATGGATACTACCATTGATCTAGATCTGTAGGCGCTAAGAAAGATGACAGAGACCCGATCTTGTCATCAAGTTCGCCAGAGATGACCAATACGCTTGAGGTATGTCCGCTGTAATGCCGGACCACTAAAGTCTGACTACATATGCTCGAGATAGGGAAACCAGGGGTCCAGAGATAACGACACGAGAAGACTCGTATGCCAGGAAAGTTGACCAAGCCCCGTCGGAATTACATTCGCAATCAACATTATTTGATGCTGTGGGACTCGTGGCCAGCTAAAGCTAAAGCCCGCCATGTTCAGATTGAGTGCCTCGTTGTCAACGGACGGAAACGCGGCAGCTCTGACAGCGTATGGTGGCGCCAGCCACGGCGTGTGAAGAAGCCAATGCCGTGAGGTGTTCCCCCCTTGAATGGCAGATAATGACCAATACCATGTGCGCGCGGAAGACATCCGGCGCGCTGATATCTTGCCTAAGATCTTGGCGCTGCTGCAAACAGAGCAAAGGCTCTTCAAGTTGACAAAGTCGGCACATTTGCAACATCAACAGTTGATGTGAAATAGGATCACGGAGATCAGAAGCTCTTGTCGATATTCGTCTTGAACAATGGCAGGCTGGGCTGTTACACTGCATCAAATAGCATTTCCAAGAAATGCAAGTTACCTACGGGATGGCACGTTCATCCTCAGATCATACTCAGCCACCTGGACAGGGTTCCCTGTTGTCAAGGTCTTGGATGGTCGCGTAGAGCACCGCAGGAGATCCGGCGCACCCTTATCCTCAGCTGCTAGCCAACCACTTGCAAACAGTCTCGTCGAGTAGGGAAGTCGGGAACATGCATGGCGTCAGTGAGAAATAGCATCTCGCAAACCGGGTGCCGCAGCAAACGCTAGACGTTTGTGCCTTGGCAGGCTGTGTTCCACGAAGCAAATTTTATCCCGATATCAGGGAAGGGAATCCTCACTATTATTGTTCGCGCGTTTTCATACCCGAAAGCAAGTTTCTTCAAACATTGTCTTGTATTCCTCGGCAGAAAATCTCGCTCAAAAGCTTAGTAAGTAGGCTTTTAGGGCTTAATTCTGCAGGGTCAGCACTGCTTCTTCGCCGTGTGCATGATGTTGCCCGCGGGTGCAGAAACTTCGCAGTAGAATATTGGGGGTTCTCGCCTATTAGATTGAGGCTGATGCATGTGAAGGGAAGAGAGCCGGGGGTCCTGTTATATCACACCATGTTATCAACTTAGCTCAAAATGTCAACAAATGGTGCATTCGCAGGGTCCAACAAGGATGCAGATATACCGTGCTCCGCTCCAGTCCCAATTCGAGTTTGGGCGCGGCCGCCTCAAACATCCTCCTTCTCGCCATGGTCTTCGTCAATTGCGAGCAGATCAGAAGGCTCTCTCCAGTAGAAGCAGAAAACATGGTCGGCATGTTAACCCAATTGGGGCCTAGGGCTCATCATATATAGTGCCCGCGTATGCAAGAACATGCGAGAGCGGGCGAGATGCGTTCTGTATGCAGTGCGGCGGCTTTATTGGTCTTGGGTTGTGGTGGGTGGATGACATCCAGGCATTAGGCCCTCTGTAATCAATATTTTCTTATCAGGACAGGACCCAGGCACTCCAACGCAACAGGAAAGCTAGACCGTGTGTGCTGAGTGTTAAGATGAGGGCAACCGGTGAGGTGGCTGCTCTTGGCGAGAAGTCCCCCAACGAAGTCGTCCGCATGGGTGGCGAGCGCCATCAGTCAGTTGTGATGAATGGCTGGAAAACCCGTGGCCGACATTGGAATCCGCTGATATCAGGAGGACTTCTTTGTTGTCAGCATGGTTGCGGTCAGCCACAGCCGAAACCGTTCTCCGTCTTAGGTCTTTACGGTGCCTGTTGTTGCGATTTTTATCGGGGCGGGCCACCGTAATGTTAGACTGCTGCCACCAGGTCATTCGATTCGCTCTCTGCAGACCAGATAGATCAGACTGCAGGCTCTGTGCATCAGAGCTGATCGCCGGAAGCCGGCACTGGACCAGCCTCGGAAGGACAGGAGACAGAATTTTGTCTAGTTGTAGAAATCGACTGGTGCAGGATGGATGACGATGGGTTCAACGTGCACTAGCCAGTTAACAGTAGAACTGAGGTACTTAGGTCTAACAGAGCCACTAACATAAGTGTACGGGACGGAACGTTAAGCTTCATTTTAGCAAGTACCTATTTTAGGGTACTCTCTTATCCCTGTCACTTCGTATGTTGCGACCGAATGGCCAGCTATGTTGTCAAAAGCATGTATCTGGCTTGGTCCCTTCCCGCCGTTTCACAGGTGTATAGTCATCCACAGCTACCTGAAAATTGCAGCAGGTTGGGAGCTGTGCGGAAAGAACAGCGGGACGCCACGAGTGACTGAGACAGGTGAGTGAAAACGAGACAGGGATAACGATGTTGTTTAAGAAGCTCGAGCGGTAAGCGAATGGTTTCTGCTGAAGTGACATATCGCTGTCCGAGAGGCACACCATCCCAAACAGGATGCCGATGAGACGAACATACAAGCTGAAGTGCCAAATACATAACCCCCACATACAAGGGGTCGTTAAGACATACAGGAAGAGCAAAGCTTAACTCGCTTTGGCGAGGTCGCCGATGGGGCATAACGGTTGTTCAACATTTCTCCTATTTTGTTGTCTATTTTTGCCTTGCAACTTAGAACACTGAATCGAACCTCGATATGCGAATCCTTTAAGGAGTTGAGGTTGCAGACAATCCCGGTCGAGCGCATGGTAGGGCCGGTTATTCCATTAAGCGACTGTCTTGTATCATCGCAATCCCGTCGATACGACCTGGGACTGTGCAGACAAACGCAGGCAGGATGCGCCAAGCCCGCTCACCGTTGCGTTACGTTAATCAGCGTTACTGTCGACGGTGCTGTCCCTGGCGGGTATCTACTTGACTGTCAGCTTAGCTCATGAACAATATCTGCAGGTGGACAACCTATCTACGAACCCCTGTCCTCACCAGTGTTTGTACAACTACCGTACCAAGCTCGCCTCGCAAAGCACATACATTGCCCAGAGTCCTGATACGCCGGTACATGCCAGAACATATCATTCTCGCATCCTGGACGAGGCCCCTGGTTCGCCGCAGTATCTAATATTTCGGATATATGCCGACTAACCCCTGGCCTAGATTGCTAGAGCCGAAGTGGCTTTGACGAAAACTATCATGGCAGTCGTATATGATCGTCTCATGGGCCAGGGCGACCCGGGGAGCTGTCAACCTCTGCCCTTCTAGACTGCTCGTTGATCTCCGTAGCGCCGGACAACCAGTCTATCCCAATAGTCCAGACCAAGGGGCCAACAAAGAAAGGCTTCAGGTCCACTCAATAGCTGCATGCCACCGACGCCATGATGTGGCCCGACCACGTCTCTCAGCGTCGTTCTGGGCCGTAGGTGACTCTTTCAGCTCGTCCAAGAGCAGACATGCTTTATCTCGTCTTCCCACGGACATGGGTCTTCCATCAGCATGGTGTGGCTGCCAAGCAGGCCGGTGATGTGACCGTGCCTGTGCTTGTCAGTGCAAGAAGCCCAAAATATGACTGCGGCTCTAGTGTGCTGCTCATCAGCTTCCGCGTGTGTTGGGCAGTGATTCCCATCAATCTCTCTTAAAGCCTGCTATCCCATTGATGTACCCCTGGTCTTGTTTCTGTCGACCCCCGTTCGGGTTCCGTCTTGTTGCAGAGCCTCGTCTCCTTCCCTGCTCTCACCTCCTGAACCTTTCTTTACAGAATTGGTTTCCTTCTTTGAACCAATCTATATCGTTCTCAACTAGTCATTCACCACCGTCTGAATTTGAGGGCGTCGGTCTGGTCTGGCGTTACGGACAACGCCAAAGAAGCCTCGAGATGCGTGTCTTCAAGTCGTATTTCACGCCGACTGGCGATGGCACGACCGAGAAGACTTCGGCGCTGTCACACTCCCATGGAGATGTTGACGGGACTAAGGTGGCCAAGGAGAGCGCTGGTGGTCTCAGGCTCTCGAATCTGAAGTCGAAGAATCCACTTTCTTCCGCGTTGGCTCCGCAGTCGTCAACTCAATCGGCATCAATATCAGGGACAAATACCCTATCGGCCCACACAGGAACACCATCGCAGTCAAGGCCATCGTCAATATTGACTCCATCGGTCAGGAACTCCGTGTATCCCAGAGGCGACTTCAGGAACTCACAACAGACTCTCATGGATGTCAAGAACGACATGATGGTCAACTGGCTATATGAGCAGCAAATGAGAAAGCTTTATGTGTTTCCAGAAAATATTGGCGAGGGAGTTGTTCTCAAACGAGCAAGGGGTGACTTCACCTGCTGCCCGCCTCAGTTGAGAGCATTTCAAGGCGGCTTCTATGACATGATTGTCAAGATGAACGTCCGGGTATGTACGAGACCGTGAAATCAAGCACTGTCGGCTAACGCGTATCCAGTGTGCGATGACAGTAAACACGCCTGTCGTCAGAGCCATTTTGGACTCGTTAAGGAGCGTTGAGATTGACTATGTCCCTCTTCCAGACGGTCTCCGAGTTCAAATCCTTCAAAGAATGGACGATCTTCCGAAGGGACAGCTGCATCACTTCGCGGCATTTCTTCAGGAGGAAAACATACTAATTGTTTGGGATGATGACCCGGAGACTTTACTCCGTAGAGCTCAAACACTTGAGAGGAGATTTATGGAGATCATCTGGGGCACACAAGAAGAACAGGAAAACAACAACGAAGATGAAAAGAAAGGTCCAGATGTCGAAATGACTGAAGTAGACCCTGACCAATTGGAAAGTGGTACGACTGAGGAAAAACGGCCAATTCGACTCGAGAATGCATGTGTCGTTGGCGTCACCTTGGCTCTTGCGATCACCTGTCTGGGACTCGGTTGGAGAAACCTAGCCATGGAAGTCGGCGTTGATAACGGCTATATGAGACTTGCTTTGCTCGCGGCGGGACCGATCCAGCTCTTTTGCAGCTTGGTGAGTAGAAATCTCACAATTCAGTGTGCCTGTTTCCAGTCTCTAACAGAGTGCAGTTCTTCTTCCAAGCATTAGTCGGCAATCTGGCTCAGATTTTCGGACCAATTTCCGCTGTCACGTCGAACTCCAAATATTACTCCGGAAAGCCTCCGAAGAGGTTGAATAGAAATCTCCATGCCTTGCCTCATGTAACAATTCAAATGCCGGTTTATAAGGAGGGGTTGAACGCAGTCATCAGGCCAACTGTCGTATCTCTGAAAGGCGCTATATCGACATATGAGATGCAAGGAGGGACAGCCAACATTTTCGTGAACGACGACGGTATGCAGCTTGTTTCTGACGATGAGGCGGCTGCACGACGAGACTTCTACGACGAGCATAACATCGGCTGGGTTGCTCGGCCTAAGCATAACGATAAGCCTGAGGATGGCGAGAAGAAGTTCCTTCGTCGCGGCAAGTTCAAGAAGGCATCAAACATGAATTATGCGCTGCACGTATCCAATCGTGTCGAGGAGAAACTGCAACAGATCCATCGAGGAGCGAAGTGGGATCAAGAGGCTGAGTATGGCGCATACTACCAGTGCCTCGCCGACATCCTGCAAGAAGATGAAGGCCGGACTTGGGCGGAGGGTAATATTCGGGTGGGAGACTACATCCTTATCATTGACTCGGACACCCGCGTGCCAAAGGACTGCCTGCTTGATGCTGTTAGCGAGATGGAGCAATCACCAGACGTAGCCTTGATCCAATTCAGCTCTGGAGTCATGAATGTCTCGGAATCATTCTTCGAAAAGGGGTAAGTATTCTTCATCGAGATTATATTTCGTATACTAACAGATATTCAGCGTTACATGGTTCACCAATCTCATCTATTCAGCAATCACCTTTGCTGTGGCTTCGGGTGATGCTTGCCCGTTTGTCGGCCACAATGCACTTCTTCGATGGCAAGCGATCCAGGAGGCTGCAGCGTATGAGGATGAAGACGGCTATGAGAAGTACTGGTCCGAGTCTCACGTGTCCGAAGATTTCGACATGGCTCTTCGTCTCCAAGTTGCCGGGTACTCGCTTCGGTACGCCGCCTACACGGGGGATGGCTTCAAGGAAGGAGTCAGCCTGACTGTATACGATGAGCTGGCACGATGGGAGAAATATGCGTACGGGTGCAACGAGCTTCTCTTTCACCCTTTCCGATTTTGGATTGTCAGAGGACCTTTCACGAAGCTCTTTAGACAGTTCATCTTCTCGTCGATCCCATTCCCTAAGAAGGTAACAATCTGTGCTTATATCGGGACATACTACGCTATCGCATCAGCCTGGTTACTCACCTTGATGAACTACTTCCTCACCGGATGGTTCTTTGGCATATACGACAAATATTATATTGACTCCTTTGCCATTTACTTCGGTATTATTACTGTTTTCACGGCACTGGGCAATGTCGCCCTGGCTGTCCTTCGATACCGGTTGAGCGAGAAATCCCTGCTTGGAGCTTGTAAGTCATCTGTCCCCAAATGCTATTCTCATGGTAACACGAGCTAACTCACTCCTCAAGTCCTTGAAAACCTGACATGGATTCCTATGTTCACCATCTTTCTTGGTGGCGTATCGTTGCACGTTTCACAAGCCATCCTCAGCCATTTCTTCGAGATCGACATGGTTTGGGGTGCGACAGCCAAGGAGGTTGAGGAGGTGAACTTTGGTGAGGAGATGGTTCGCATCCTGAAGAAGTTCAAGGGAACTTTCGTTTTCTGTTTCCTCGCAACTGGACTGATGGTTTCCGCCTTCTATGTCTTCCCCGTGCAGTGGCGGATCACCACGTTCTCTTCGATCTACCCATTTGCCTCAGTGGTGGCTTCTCATTTCTTACTACCGGTCATTCTGAATCCCGCCTTAATGATGTTTAGTTGGTAAAGTGTACTTGACAGGGGTGTATCGTACGTTGGTAATCATTGTGTTAGAGGGCGTTCGGGTCGTTCGGGTCTTGAGGGGAGCACGAGGTAATATCGGCGAGGAAGGACAAAACATATCAGAGGAGACTAGACTTAGATCACGATAATGGACATAAGCACTCAGTATGAGTCGAAACCTAGACCATAAGACTCACAAACAGGGGGCAGACTTCTGTAGACCGAAAGATAGGTGTTTCCTTGAGTAGCGTGCATTGGTTTCCATTTCTCGAAACATTGCAAGCCTTCTCCAAAGAATTTTGGAAGGAAAGGGACGCCGAAGGGAAAAGCGCCATCAAGTAAACTTTGGTCACAAAGCCCTTCTATAAGACCGCCAATTGTGTCAATGGCGTACGGGCTGATGTTGATCCTTCTTTACGTTGTTTCTATATCTAAGATATTGTATATACCCAGACAGTCTCTTTCAACGTAAGCATTGTAGGCGTTCACAGCCTGGTCTCTACAGACAATCTATAGAGACCCGACTTGAACGTGCAGACGAGAAACATGCTCGAACTGACCTGACTCGGAGGCATGTATCGACATCGTGCCTTCCGTTTCGGGAAGCGGTGGGAGTTTCGGAAGTGCCTGAGACCCGCTATTCACCGCAAAATGCAAGAACAGCGTCATTGTGGATCCGCCAACGTTAACGTTCACTGTGCGACTCAGGCAAAACTGAAGCTTTGGAGCAAATGGGTGTCGGTAGGGCTCTGGGGGCTCTGCCTAGAGCTGGTTATCAGTGCTTGACGGCGCCGTCTCAAACCCACAATTCGTGACCTAGAAGTGGTTGAAGGTGGACAAGATATGCGCAATAACCTGCATGGACACGCTCTCTTGCAGCGATTGAGCGCTGTGATTGACTGGATGCAGGTCATCGTGGGACTGTCAGCGGGGTCTTTTGGACACGCACAGCACTGCACAGGACAGCATTGAGGCGACACCGACAGAATTAATAAGTCGTCTCTCACGGAAATCCACAGCGAAGAGGTCATAAGAAACGGGTATCGACTCGCGTGGCATTTTAGTTACACCTTCTCCCTTGACCCAAACTCTTACAACCTTGGATCTCTGCTTTCTTCTCTCTCTGCTGTCTGTCCGTCCGTTCATCCATCCATCCATCCTGCACGATACAGGGTATTCCTGTTGCCATCCGTCCGTACACCGTACACCGTACAACCCGCAAGATCTTGTCATCCGACTTTATCGTTCCCGCACTGGTCAATCTGTGTCGACGCTCTTTTTCGCCTCCTTGAACAACCCGATTGCGGTCACTTTCCATTGGCTGGACCCTGAAAATCATCCCCTCCAAGGGCTCTTCGGAAGTCCCTCGGATCTCATTCCTCGTTCCCAAGCTGTTCGGACACAGCTTCTATCTGAGATCCGCCGCTCAAGGCTCTTGAATACCTACCTGAACTGTGCCTCTCAGGGCAGTGTTACTGCTAAGGCGACGACTTTCTTTGACATATTGGCATCTTTTGCTGCGGATGACATAAGATTTGGACAATTTGAGGCTGGCTGTAAGAGAACAGACCCCCCCCATCATCTCGTCTCAGTCCTTTTTTTGGCCCGCGTGACTGGTTCCTGCAACTCCAATTTCCCCCTGTACTGTAACCGCATTTTCACTCCTCCCCAGCAAGCATATGCACCCAATACCGGCCGCTGCTAACCCGGAACAATCCTAGCAACACCACATTACCTACCTACACTGCGTATACCGCACCACAAGCACCGCACCGCAGCGAACCGCACCTGAAGCCCTACAACACAGACGAGCTGAGAACCTTTCTGGTGTTTCCCCGTACATAAGCCGCAGTCTTACCTCCGATCCTCTTCGACTGTCACTTTCAATTCCCGTTTGCTTCAAGCTCATTGTTTCTCAACCATCGAGCTCCCCCCCTCCTCAAAGGAAACCCCACTATCCCACCGATACACCGCCGATACCTCGTAGTCACCACAACGATGACCACGCCCGGCATGGGTCGCAGTCGCGGCTCGACCGACGACTTCAGCGTTTACGACGATGCAAAGACCTACTATGCTTCCGAGGAGCGCCATGTGAACACAAAGAGCGGAGCTCGGACTCGGACCTACTCCCAGGTAAAACACACATGCCGGCATTGCCAATGGGCCTCGCAAGATCTTTGTCGACTGACTTGGTCTTATAGAATAGTCTTCTGAAGCAGATGGAGAGGCTGGGCCTCAAAGAGCCGTTTCGAAGAGGTAGTCATGGTATGTGTCCATTGACTAGATCATGAGTTGTAGTGTGGTTCGCTAATTGTTGGTCAATGGCACAGATGAGACCACCATTCCTCAATCCCGACGATTTCTTATCCAAGTTGAACCTACATTGCAGAGCTTGCAGTCGCAAGAGGATACGGACAACAATATGCAAATCACAATCGAAGACAATGGCCCAAAGGTAACATCTCTTAGATCCTCTGGGCTAGAATATGCCACTAAATCGATGTACAGGTCCTGTCCCTCCGTACAGCTGCCTCCAACGGCCACAACAGATTTGACGTTCGAGGCACCTACATGCTTTCAAACTTGCTTCAAGAGCTATCTCTTGCCAAGGAGTATGGGCGAAAACAGATCATTTTGGACGAGGCCAGACTGAATGAGAATCCCGTGAATCGGCTGTCACGATTGATTCGTGATCACTTCTGGGAAGGCCTCACTCGAAGGATTGATGCCTCTAGCATCGAAATTGCTGCTAAAGATCCGAAGGATTGGACCGACGATCCTCGACCGCGTATATATGTCCCAATTGGTGCTCCTGAGCAACTTGAGTACTACCAAAAGGTTGCGCAGGATCGGCCAGAGCTTCGTTTGGATGTCCAGCAGCTTCCAGCCAAGATTACCCCCGAACTTGTCCGAGACATGAATGACGCACCTGGACTTCTCGCAGTTGAGATGGAAGAGTCCACAGATCCTGTTACCGGCGAACGCACTTTACGAGGACTCCCCTTCGTGGTTCCTGGCGGTCGATTCAATGAGCTTTATGGGTGGGATAGTTATATGGAGTCCTTGGGTCTTCTAGTTAACGACAAAGTCCACCTCGCCAAGTCCATGGTGCTCAACTTTTGTTTCTGCATCAAACATTATGGCAAGATCCTCAACGCCACCAGATCATACTACCTCGCCCGCTCTCAGCCCCCTTTCCTCACTGACATGGCACTCCGGGTGTATGACAAGATTCGACACGAGCCTGGTGCCCTGGAGTTCCTCCGGACGGCCATCCTAGCAGCCATCAAGGAATACCACAGTGTCTGGGTTGTCGAGCCAAGGCTTGACCCTATTACCGGCCTGTCCCGATATCGCCCCGAGGGATTAGGTGTGCCGCCTGAGACCGAGGCAGGACATTTCGTTCACATTCTTGAGCCCTACTGCAAGAAGTATAACATGGAATTCAGGGAATTCGTGCGCGCTTACAACCATGGGGAAGTCACAGAACCAGAGCTGGACGAGTATTTCCTGCATGACCGTGCTGTCCGTGAGTCTGGTCATGATACCTCGTACCGGTTGGAGGGAGTTTGTGCAAACTTGGCCACGATCGATCTAAACGCCTTGCTCTACAAATACGAGACTGATATTGCCCGGACAATCCGCAATGTCTTCCACGACAAGCTGGTGATTCCGGCTGAATACTGCGTTGGCTCCTTGCAACCCGGCCAAGTTGAATCGTCCGCAATCTGGGACCGCAGATCTAAGCGCCGCAAGCTGGCTATCGACAAGTATCTCTGGAATGAGAAGGAGGGCATGTATTTCGACTATGACACTGTCAAGCGTGAACAATGCAACTACGAGTCCTGCACGACATTTTGGGCTCTATGGGCTGGCGTTGCGTCTCCAAAGCAGGCAGCTGCCATGGTCACCAAGGCCCTGCCCTTGTTCGAGGCCTATGGCGGTCTGCTTTCCGGTACACAGCGAAGTCGTGGTGAGATAGGACTCGAGCGACCTAACCGGCAGTGGGATTATCCGTACGGATGGGCACCACAGCAAATTCTGGCCTGGACCGGCCTGTACCGTTACAGCTTCACCGAAGAGGCCGAGCGCCTTGCGTACAAATGGCTGTTCATGATGACCAAGGCTTTCGTTGACTTCAATGGTGTTGTGGTGGAGAAATACGATGTGACAAGGCCTATTGATCCTCACCGTGTCGACGCCGAGTACGGCAACCAAGGTTTGGACTTCAAGGGGGTTGCGAAAGAAGGGTAAGTGAAGATTCTAGTGGTAGCACGGATTTCATCTCCTCTGACTGATCGATTTAGGTTTGGCTGGGTCAATGCGAGCTACATTTATGGCCTGCAGATCGTCAATGCCCACATGCGCCGAGCCCTGGGTACGTTGACTCCCTACGAGACCTTCATCAAGGCCGTTGAGGAGAACCGCAACAAGGCCCTTGCAGAATTGGTCTAAGCTTTTCCGGTTGTAAATGTCGTCCTGATGATGATGATGATTCCTTCTTTTGGAAAGGGGGGTATTTCTTTCAGGTGTACTTCTGGCGTACTGGGCGTTCTTCCATCGTTGATCTCGCGGAAGATAGAGTAGGTGGCATGCGGAGTGTTTGCATGGGGTGCGCTGACGGAGGCTGCATTTCGATGGCGACAGACATTGGGGTATAGATGGTCGACCGGAAAACCTAGATGCACATTAGAGGAGGGTTATGACTGCATTATACAGGCACTATGATCACGGTTCACCATTAACCAGCGACGAGGTGAGGGTGGAAGGCAGAGGCTACAGATTGCACAAACGACCATGCAAAGGCTTTATGGGAAAGCTTGAGCCTTCAGCGTCAGGCCCAGGGATGATAGGTGGACCAGGCCCTACGAGTACTAGCATCGTCCCAAGTATCACTAAATTGCATGGCATTTTCGGACTCGATTGAATTGGATTGTGCTTCAATTGACTTGGTAATAGTGTCAAACTGGGACACACTCGGCAAACTACGCATGTGAAAGGCACACGAACAACGGAATGTTTAGTGCTTCGTATTGGGTGATGCCAGGCCGAGGCATAGCAATTGTCCAATGAGAAGCGGCAATGACCCCAAGTGGTGAGCCGCATCGGGTGTTGAATGGCTGCAGATTTGTACATGTGCGCAAAGACCATGAGATGCGTTGCCTACCAGGCTACTACTAAGAGATATGACGACAGCCCTGGCTCGCCTTTTCCTCTTCTTCACATGCCAGTCACGCCAGGGTCTGTTAGAAAAGCCACCTTCTCCTCACTTGAACAACTCAATTCTTCAGTCCAATTTGGAAACAGGACCATTGTGGATCGTTCTGCATTCTCATCACTTGGGAATGCACGATGTGAGTCAAATGAATCGGAAGATGCATAGATAGATGCATGATCATGAAAAAAGCACGGAGGCAAAGTCGAGCTTCCAGTCGTCCGTCCACAGGCCACTCAGCCATTCAGTGGTGACCCCAAATCCGGCATGTATCTGTCTGTCTGCGGGGGAGGGGTCGAGACCTCTTAGCCCGGCATTCGGTAACTCGGCCAATGGCGGCAACGCAGCCCTGTGCGGAGCCAACCACGGCGCGTTCCCAGCTCCCTTTAAGCCGAGTTCACCTTGGGGCACTACGGGTCAGTGACTCTGACCACAGTCATCCATTGGCATATGGGCGGGCGAGTAAGGAGGGCCAGAGGGAAAAGAATACATGTCTGCCAGGTACGAATTCGCCCTTGCTACCGGGTCACCCCCGCCAGCATCGGCTTGGCTTGATTGTACCATACTCTCCCACAAGCCTCCTCTTCCCCCAAAGCCATGACTTCCCGAGGCGGACCCACAAGAAGGCATGATCTGCCCTGGCGTATCTGACCTTGCTGGCTTGCCGCAGAGTCATCCATTCTCATGATTGCTTAGGGGCTGGCCCCCAGCTGAAGTTAAAAGTGAATAGCCGCTTGACCGATTGCTCCCGATAGCCCTGGAGCCGGGCCTGACATATCTTGTGACGATCCGTGACTTCTTGAGGTAGTTGACTGCTCGTCTTTTCCTCTCTCTCCTCGCGTCAGCTTCCTTTCTTCTCCTGGATTATTCCTATCATCATCTCCCAGTCCAGTGATTTGCCTTCCCGTTGATAGCTGCTGCTGTCCCGAACGCAACTGCTACGCTTCGCATTCCAGTGGCCCGCCTCTTTCACGTGTCATTTTGTGTACATCATACAACCACTCTCCCCTCTTCCCGTCTAAACTGCCCATCATGGCTGCCAACAACATGCGGAACCCCGCTGTTGACCCCAACACGGAGGATGCAGTGTTCGCTCAGGAGGTCGAGCAGGTGAAGAAGTGGTGGAGCGATTCCAGATGGAGATACACCAAGAGACCTTTCACGGCCGAGCAGATCGTGTCAAAGAGGGGCAACCTGAAAATTGACTATCCCAGCAGTGCCCAGGCAAAGAAGCTGTGGAGTATCCTCGAGGGACGCTTCCAGGTCAGTAGACAATGCTCATTGGTGGCGAAGTAGAATCAAGAACTGACGCGAATCGAAAGACTGGCGATGCCAGCTACACTTATGGCTGCTTGGAGCCCACAATGGTGACTCAGATGGCCAAGTACCTTGATACCGTCTACGTATCTGGCTGGCAATCATCATCAACTGCCTCTGCGTCAGATGAGCCTGGTCCGGATCTGGCTGATTACCCCTACGTGAGTCGGAGGAGAAGAGACAGTAGCCGCAGAATGCACAACTGACTAGAGATAGACCACCGTCCCTAATAAGGTTTCTCACCTGTTCATGGCACAGCTCTTCCACGACAGGAAACAGCGACAAGAGCGCCTCACGACACCCAAGGCGCAACGAGCAAAGCTGGCTAACATTGACTACCTGCGACCAATCATTGCTGACGCCGATACTGGTCACGGTGGTCTGACAGCCGTGATGAAGCTCACCAAGCTGTTCGTCGAGAAGGGTGCCGCGGGTATTCACATCGAGGACCAGGCCCCGGGTACGAAGAAGTGTGGCCACATGGCTGGCAAGGTGCTGGTCCCCATCAGCGAGCACATCAACCGTTTGGTTGCCATCCGAGCTCAGGCCGACATCATGGGTAAGCTTCGAGACGCATAACTCTATGCTTCGATATGCTAATAGTTTTGCAGGCTCTGATCTGCTCGCCATTGCCCGAACCGATGCCGAGGCTGCGACACTAATCACAACCACGATTGATCCACGAGATCATGCTTTCATCATTGGCAGCACAAACCCCAACCTGCAGCCATTGAACGACCTCATGATTGCCGCAGAGCGCGCAGGCAAGACCGGCGACGAGCTGCAGTCGATCGAGGACCAATGGCTGAAGCAGGCGAACCTACTGCGCTTCGACGACGCCGTCGTGCACGCCATCGAGACGGGCACCTTCACGGACAAGAAGGCGCTTAAGGCGCAGTACCTGCAGGAGGCCAAGGGCAAGAGCAACAACGAAGCGCGCGCCGTGGCCCGCGGCGTCCTGGGCGTGGACATCTTCTTCGACTGGGACGCCCCGCGGACGCGCGAGGGCTACTACCGCCTCAAGGGCGGCTGCGACTGCGCCATCAACAGGGCCATCGCCTACGCGCCGTACTGCGACGCCATCTGGATGGAGAGCAAGCTGCCCGACTACAAGCAGGCCGAGGAGTTTGCCCAGGGCGTGCATGCCGTCTGGCCCGAGCAGAAGTGAGTTTGACCCATCTTATTTTCCCCATGGTTGAGCCGTGCTGACATTTTCTCCCCCAGGCTGGCATACAACCTCTCGCCCTCCTTCAACTGGAAGACGGCGATGCCGCGCGCCGAGCAGGAGACGTACATCCGCCGGCTGGCGAAGCTCGGCTACTGCTGGCAGTTCATCACGCTGGCGGGCCTGCACACGACGGCGCTCATCAGCGACCAGTTCGCCAAGGCGTACTCGCAGATCGGCATGCGCGCGTACGGCGAGCTGGTGCAGGAGCCCGAGATGGACGGCGCCGTCGACGTCGTCAAGCACCAGAAGTGGAGCGGCGCGACCTACGTCGACGAGCTGCAGAAGATGGTCACCGGCGGCATCAGCAGCACGGCGGCCATGGGCAAAGGCGTTACTGAAGACCAGTTCCATTGAGTCATTTAGGTGTGAGTTTAGAAATTGTAAGTCATCGGTTGTGAGGGAGATTGTTGAAGGAGGAGCGGCATGAGGCATGAGGAAAAGGAGAATTTCATGAATTCAGAGACTTGATGAAAGAGTCACACCATTTGGAAAGAAAAGTGAGGTCATTTCACTTGATTTCTTAGTTGAAGCCATTTTGCATAGAACATAATTGAACTGGGAGAATCATAAGAAAACATTTACATTCAAGTTGAGGAGGTTGCAGCGCAATCGGAGCCATAGACGGACTGTCCCCGGAAACCCAGCCTGAGCGTACCCCCCAGCAAAAGCTGTTGTGGGCCTTAGGAGCCCTGGACACTTTAGCCAGCCTTTTTTAAAGTGCCGGCGTGCTCGCTCTGGGGAGTTTCTGGCGAATCAAACGCGCTCAAAGTGGACTGATAGGCGTGATCGCGTCACAAGCTCCTTCAAACTGGCAGCACCTGCATCCCGTCCGTCAATTCACTTGAGCTGCTCCCTTCCTCCCACTCATCCCATAACCACCTCAATCTGTCCTCAATTGGATCCGTCTCAATTCGCATACTCTTCAATCTTTGCGCCAGATTCTGAGGATTTCTTTCTATCTGTCGTGCAATATCGTCTTGACGTCAGCTATCCTTACCCGACTCTAGACTCTGAGCAGTCTCTCCACTAAGCACGACACCATCATGGCCGACGAAGCCTCAACGAACGATCAGCAAAACCCTACGGTGGCCGTTGATCCGGCACCCGAGGTCGCCATGGAGAGCGCTGTCGCAACACCCACGGCTGCCGAAGGGGACCGCTCGGCCCTCGCCACCGGCACCGTGACGCCAGCGCTGTCCGACATCCCGCTGAACCCAGAGCAGCGCAGCCTGTCGCTCAAGGTCTCGCTCGCCGACCTGAGCGCCAAGGCGACCGCGCTGTACGCGCACAAGAACTACGAGGAGGCCGCCGAGGTCTACGCCCAGGCCGCTGAGATGCAGGCCGAGATGAACGGCGAGATGAGCCCTGAGAACGCCGAGATCCTCTTCCTTTACGGCCGAAGTCTGTTCAAGGTCGGCCAGAGCAAGAGCGACGTGCTGGGCGGCAAGGCGCCTGAGCAACAAAAGAAGAAGGCCGCGGCGGGCGAGAAGAAGAAGGGGAAGGCAAATGGAAGCGCCGTGAAGACAGAAACTGCTGAGGCATCGGGCGCTGCAGCACAACCTGCTGCGGAGAATGAGACTGAGAGAGTTGCCGAGGAGGCCGTTGCAATTATCGTCGATGAAAAGGAGGGCGAGAAGAAGACTGAAGAGGGCGTCGAGGCGAAGAAGCCATTGTTCCAATTTACAGGAGACGAGAACTTTGATGACTCCGACGAGGAGGAGGTTAGACCTTTCCCTCCTCACTCGTCGCGGCGGATACTAACGGCATACTAGCAGGGCGGCGAAGAGGAAGAAGGCGAAGGCGAGGACGAGGAAGATGACGATCTTGCCATGGCATTCGAAATCTTAGACCTGGCTCGGGTTCTCTTCAACAAGAAACTCGAGGAAGGCACAGAAGCTGCTGCCGACGACAAGGGTAAGGAGAAGGCTGAAGGTGATACCCCTGCGACGAAGCACATCAAGGAGAGACTGGCAGATACGCATGACCTCCTAGCTGAGATCTCTCTTGAGAACGAAAGGTATGATAATGACTCCTTGGGATGAATTTCAAATGATTGACCATTGAACGTTGCTAGATACCCTAATGCGATCGTTGATTCTCGAAAGTCTCTGGAGTACAAGAAGCAGTTGTATCCCGAGGAGTCGGAGGTCATTGCAGAGGCCCACTTCAAGCTGTCCCTTGCGCTTGAGTTCGCCTCAGTCACCAGCTCATCTGATGAGGATGACAAGTCTGGCCCGCAGCCGGTTGACCAAGACCTACGTGAAGAAGCCGCGAAGGAGCTCGAGGCCGCTATCGCAAGTACGAAGCTCAAGCTTCAGAACAAGGAGGTCGAGCTTGCGACTCTGCACTCCCCTGAGGACAACGACATCACCAGAAAGCAAATCGCTGAGGTTAAGGACATCATTGCTGATATGGAACAAAGAGTAAGTCAGGCCTGAATCACGTCCAGCCGGAGGACATGCTAATTATTGGGTAGCTTGTTGATCTGCGCAAGCCGCCAATCGATGTCAATGCAGCCCTTGCCGGCAGCGATCCGATGGGTGGCATCCTCGGCGCTGCTCTAGGTGAGAGCGCTGCCCAGACCGAAGCCCGCATCGAGGAGGCGAAGAAGACGGCGACGGATCTCACCGGACTGGTGCGAAAGAAGGCCAAGGAGGAGCCAAAGCCGACTGCAGAGGAGGCGAAAACCAACGGCCACGAATCTAATGGCAAGCGAAAGGCCGAGGAGCCCGCTGAAGCCCCTGCAGAGACGAAGAAGGCTCGCGTCGATGAGGCTCAGGAGGCATGATCTAAGCTCCGCGGGGAGCTAGTGCTTCGTTCGGAACTAATGCAGACATTCTTTCTAGCTACGGAGAACCGGCACAGTGTACAGTATGTAGTTTTCTTTTACTACCGCAAGCAAATTGGGAAGGGGTCATGGCTGGGACGGTGGCACGAAGCTTTATGACATTTTCGCAAACAGAAAACGCCTTTGAGAAAACAGGGGCGGTGACAGCTAGACAATTAGCATCTCGGAATAAAATCTGGTGTTGCATGATACATTTCCACTCGACGGGAGGTTGCGCGCAATCTTCTCTTCAAAATGCCATAATGGGCTATTCATTATTAGATATATTTTGCGTATTTCTAAGTTTCATCTCTCATAAACTTGGTGCGGCCTCAGAGCTGGAGGCTCGTCGAAGGGCTTCGGCTCGTAGGTCCGCGCAGATGCGCTGAGGAGCCCTTGAAGAGGCTTTGCCAGATGTAGGCCTCGCTGAGCAGTAGCTCGATGTCTTTTTCAGTCCATTCGCGCGTTGGTAGAGACTGCAGAAACATCATTATCTCCTGGAAGTCCATCTTGACAAGCTTGTCGGACCACTTCACCAGGAAGGCGGCGCACACGTATAGATGGAACTCTGAGAATCCATTTTCCTCAGCCTGGCTCGTCAGCAAAACAATCAGATTAAAGACAAAGTGGAGTCCTCACCATATACGTATCCCACATTCTTATGGTATTTTGAACGCTGATCTCCCGCATTAGGAGACAGTTCATCCACCTGAAGCTGAACTGGATGAACTCGACGTGCTCTTCCTCAAGATGTTTGGCTAGGTTTGCATCTATCCTCGCCGTCAAGTCACGCAAAGCAGCAACTTGTCGTTGTATACCGGGCTGCGCAACGATGTAGTGATCTTGAATACCATCCAACAGTTTCGTCAGACACCAAAATGAGTCTGCTTCCACAGCATCAAGTACAGTTTTTGGTAACTGCCCAGGGTCCATGCCACGTTCTATGTTCGGATCTGTGATGTAAACCCCGAGGAATACTTGCCAGAACGGCGTCACAAGGTCATTGATGCCCTGCACGTAGCCACTCGCGGGATGCCGTACAGCCCAAACGTACAATATCCGTTCCAGGGACCTCTGTGTTGCTTCGTAGCCGTATAATTCGATATGAGGATTCGTCCTGGGAACATCGATACTGATCTGATGCCAGATGGCTTCGTCTAGTCCTCGACCCTTGCCGGACGAAACAGCATTGCTTGCTCCTCGTTCAAATGCTTGCCGTACTCCATCCAAGTATTCCTTCCGTTTCCTCTCCAACGTTGCAACTCGCCTCTCACTGCTGGTCGGCAGGTATGAAAGCAGTAACTGCCAAGTCATAGCACGTACTTCTTCCGGTATGCCAGACCAAGCAGCGGACCTGAGCTCCGCGAGCGGAATTGTGGATGCTTGTAGGATCTTTTTGAACTTGTTTATCCTGGATATTCTTGAGTTGACTGCGTCGATTTCTTTTTGAGTTGCGTTTGGTGGTATTGAGGGATGGTTGATGAGATGAAGAGCATTGGCTGGATCTATTACACTGTTAGTATAAGATCCAATATTGTGTTATTAACCCCTTACCCTTCAAGATGTCCTTGTATTGGGGGCGCAAGATCTTCCCCTCACTCTTCTTGGGCATTGGGTATGTTGACGCTGGCCGCTCTACGGCGATGTCCCCGCCGCTCGAATAACGCCGTTCACCCAAGCCAAGTGGGTTTCCAGAGCTGTCATGCGATGGCGATAGGGTATTGCTGGCATGTGACTGCGATCGGGCAGCTTGTATGCGCCTTGACCTTCGCTTCATGTTTGACAAACTCGGCAAGCCGAAGTCGTCCCCATCGTCGTCATCATAGCCATACATGTCATCGCCCTCGTCGGCATCCCAATCTTCGTTCGTTGTAGAAAGGAAGTTCATATATGTCTTGAATGGAGGCGAGCCAGGCCCAGACCCAGGCTTAGGCACAGGCGGCCCTGCATTGGAGGTGCGTGCCTTGCTCGAGTTCGCAGACGGCGGGGTTCGTGGTCTAGATGAGGAGCTGGACAGGTTTCTAATTGGTGTTAGTCATGAAACGACTCTATAGTCAGGCTATTCCACGTACAGAGAGTCGAACTTGAGAATATCAGCATGAGAGTAGGCGGCCCCAACGACGAGGCCCGAGTCTCTTCCAGTCTTCTTTGGGGGAGGTTCTCGGGGTGGTGATCGCCAAAACGGTGATGCCGAACTGTTTCTAATTTAGCCACAGGTCTGCGTGAGATGGTGCTGCTGAGGTAGTAGCTTACTCTGATCGGTCTGTCAGTAGCACAAGCATTGAGGTTAGCCTTCCTGTCCTTGGGATCATCAAAGGGCCACCGTGGGCTGGGATTCGAGCCTACCAACTTGGACCATCTCCTGTCCTCGGCGTTAGTACTGGACAGCTTGAGAGCCAAGGAAATAGAGCAAAGACAAGTTGCTTACCTGAGGAGGCGGCTTCTTGCCGCTCCCTGAAGAAGAGAACATGTTCTATGTGCCTTGAACTTGTGACATTGGTAGAAGCATTCTCAACTAGACCGTCAAATGTCTACAGGTGGTTGTTTGAGTCGCAGTCAAGTACGTGCTGTCTGTAGTGGGGAGCCAACATAGAGGCGTGCCACCTCTGATGCCGGGGCCTTTAGCGGCCAGCTGCCGCCGGCTTTGTGCCAGCCTTGGCACCGGAATGGGTGGGCACCCTCCGCCTCCCACCTGTGGACGGCTCTGTGTCCCAAGGTGCAGCCACTGACAAAGGCCCTAAGAATGTGCACGGCCCACTGCAGCAACAGCGCCTTAGGCAGGGCGAAGTGCCTGCCCTGGGAGGACTTGCCTTAATGGGCCCCACAAAACAACAACAGCCCAATGGGTCGGATCCCCTGGGCTACAGGCAAACAACGACAAAGGAGGTCACGATAGAAAATCCCCTCCTTGAACCTTCGCACTCCCTTCATTTTGCTGTTCAACACTCCGCCATCCTCCAACCACCCGACGATATTATCCATCGTGTACTATTCTCAAACTGAAATGCCGCTTGAGAGACCCAGCAGATAATCCGCGATTTCTTTTACAGGCACTGCTGCCAAGGCCCTCGCCCTTTCCTCTCCTACAGCTCCTTCAGTGTTCCACGAGTCAGTCAGGATGACGGAGCCTGAGAATTTCGAGGACGATCTCTTCGCTGATCTGTACGAATCCTCCTTCCAAACTCCCATCACCGCCTATCTTATAGAGATCTCATATCTGATTATGGATATAGCTATGATGACAACGAGCCCGCGAAGCCCGCACAGAGCCAACCGGCAGCTGCGCCACCTGCCGCAGCTCCGGCCAGCTACGATACGAGCTACAACGAACCAGCTCAAACAACCGAGTATGATGGCGGCGGAGAAACCCACATGAACAACAACGAAGAATATGAGGAAGATGATGACGACGTTGACTTCAATCTTGGAAATGGAACAACTACTACTCAACACGCAGACACTCCCACATACAGTACCCCTACTCCCGTAACAGCTTCGAAGGGACCTAATGCCAAGGAAGACGGGTAAGCATCTCCTTCTCTCTTATGACGTGTGACACAATCTGCACTTCCTCGTAAACATGATTGCTACGTGTGGCGGGACAATTGCTTGAGACTCCAAAGAGGCTCCTCTGGAATGGGTTGAGGCCTGTTGTCTGGAAATGCTATACCATCAGTGGAAAGGCGGTCGGTACTACATGAGCAGCTACCTCGGAGAGTGAAGAGAAGAAGTCAGGGCGGCTCCTACTCCTAGTGATTACAAGAGCTTGGATTTCGATGCATTCGAAATGTCAGATAAAGCGAGGCAAAACGCCGTGGCAAGGCATCACTTCGGCAAGCACAGAACAAAGGCTGTTTGCGGTCATCGTACTATTAGCCGTGCAGATAATGCAAGAAGACCGCGCATAAAAGAGATGCCAAGCAAGAGATGAGCCTCAAAAAGAGGATGGGACTGGAAAGTTTCTTCCTGAATGACATCCAACACAAAGCACTACCGAAGCGATATAGTCAGATCAGATCAGGTCAGAGGAACTCTCATGCTTCCATAGCCCACAGACGCAGATAATCTTAGAGCTCGAAGAGAGAGTAGGTTTAACACAGACTCTGCTCTTCCGAGGCCGTATCAAGATTTGGAAGCGGATAGCGCTCGAGCCAATACCTAGCTTGACGATAGCAAGAGAGAGACTACGAACCCAGAATCTGAAAACAAAGCAAGAAGAATTCGACAAAACCTGCTGCTGGTACTCCCAACTCGCTGCTTTCTCGCTGCATCTATTTTCTCACTTGTGAGAGCTGCTGTGGCGTATTTTGCATCGGACAAGTCGAACTCACCGTTGTTTGAAACAAACTCATCTATCCATCACCGCAAGCATGCTGCCTCTTGCAAACTCCTCGCTCGCCGATGGCTACAACTACATACCACTTGAATCCGAAGATGGCGAGAGTTCGGGCAGCGGGAGTGAGCTCCAAATATCTGAAGCTCGTATATCAGATGTTACTGGCCCCTCAAATCACGACAGAAATGAAAGGTCTGGAAAGCCTAGGGAAATCGTATCGTGAACATGAGGCTCAAGTGGGCGATCCGGTTTGCGTGTTCTGAATGGACGGCACGCAGCCTTGCCAGGAGCCAGTAGGCATGAAGTTTGCTCGAATGCAGGCCACCGCCAGTCGCAGCCCAGCGACACTACGCCCGCACACGTCGAAACTAGCAACATTTTCTATACCACACACATGACATGACATTACAAATTCTGAAGCTAACATATGTGATTCTGCAGGAAGATGTTCATTGGCGGTTTGAACTGGGAGACTACGGATCGTAAGCTTATTCATATATGCAAATCTATGCACGATCTTCTAATATAGTCCCTTTAGAATCTTTACGGGATTACTTTTCACAGTTTGGTGAAGTCACCGAGTGTACTGTGATGAGAGATGGAGCAACGGGTCGATCCCGAGGATTTGGATTTTTGACCTTCAAAGATCCCAAGACCGTGAACATTGTTATGGTCAAAGAGCACTATCTTGACGGCAAGATTGTATGACAATTGATCGCTCTTCTGTTGTAGTGACTGACGAATATTCTTCTAGATCGATCCCAAACGGGCCATTCCTCGAGACGAACAGGAGAAGACTTCGAAGATCTTTGTAGGTGGTGTCAGCCAGGACACTACTGATGCGGAGTTTAAGGACTACTTTGCGCAGTTTGGTCGGGTTGTCGACGCTACTCTCATGATGGACAAGGACACAGGTCGTCCACGTGGCTTTGGTTTCGTCACGTTCGAGTCCGAGGCCGGTGTTGAGGCGACTCTATCTACGAGTCTGGAGATCCACGGCAAGCCGATTGAGGTCAAGAAAGCCCAGCCACGCGGCAATATGCGTGAGGAGGAGGAAGCCAACCGCCGTGGTGGCAAGTTCGGCCGCAAGCCTGGCATGGGAGGTAGTGGTGGATCTCAGGGCGACATGGATGAAGCATCGGGAGGTCAACAGGGCGCCGCTGGTGGTATGACACCTCAGGTCATGGCCCAGTACTGGCAGCGGATGCAACAGTACTTTGCAATGATGCAACAGCAGATGGCCATGAACCGTGGCATGGGAGGGATGGGCGGCATGAACATGAATCCCGCCATGATGCAGATGATGCAAATGCAACAGATGCAGCAAATGATGGCAGCTCAGGGTCGCGGTGGAGGCCAAGGCGGTAATAATCCGATGGCAGCCATGGGCAACATGAACCCCCAGATGATGCAGCAGATGATGCAACAAATGCAGGGTGCCCAAGGCGGACAAGACGACCAGTCCGGCGGCCAAGCAGGGGGCGCCGGTAAGCCCGGATACAATGCATTTGAGCAACAAATGTTCGAGCAGCAAAAGTATGACCCGAGCCAAGGCCCAAGAGGACCACGAGGCCCACGGCAAGATGCGCAGCAGCAGTACGGCCAGGGAGGTTACGGCATGGCCGGCGGTGCTGGCGCTCCTACATCTTGGGAGGGCATGTATGATGATGTCCCGCAGCCAAACTTCAACCAGGGAGGTGGTCGTGGTGGCTTCAACCGTAACCGGGGAGGCGCCCACCAACAGCAAGGTTCCATGGATCCTCAGCATGCACCGCCTGCAAACGCACCGACCGGACCGAAGAACGCCGGACGGCCAGGCGCGAACTACCGCGGCGGTGGCCGAGGCGGAGGCAACCGGGGATTCCATCCTTACGGACGAGGCTAGGGGCCCTCGTACTAAGCAGCTGGTCTTCGAGCCGCTACGAGTCTGTTCTGACTGTTCGCGCTATTGAATGATCAGATCTCTAATGAATGGACCCGGCACCAACAGGTCTGCAGCCTCCCTTTGAGTCAACATTTGGCTTCTGTACAACACCTACTTTCTTCCTTCTTGGCCAAACGTTTTTATTGCATACTTAAGAATCCTGAGGGGCTTTGGCTTTGGCTTTGGTCTGTGGTTAAGGGGCTAAGAGTTCAGAGGTGAATTAATACTCCCTGCGTGTGGGGAGTCGTGGTTCGGAAACATGCCTGTTTTGCTTGGAAAGGGAGGGAGTCAGTGTTTGGCTCATATGTCAGTTTTACGCCCGAGAGAACAGGCTCTCGAGGGTACAGAAATCTTAAGAAATCCTAGCCCCTGCGAGCATTCATATAGAACGCTCTCTAGAGGCATCTACAGGCGAATCACAATGCGAATCAACCTGATAAAACAATAAAATAAGTCATTGATTCATTACTTTTGCTTTCCTCTTGTGTTTCTTTAGGTGTAGAGCCTAGTGAAACCTTCTCGTGGCGGCTGGAGCCAGTTGCGCTTGTCATACGTGTTACTATCACCCTCAATGACATGGAATGTATAGATGATCCGCCCTTTCTGGCTGAGGTTCTTCTCGCTCTTGTGCAGAAGGTTGCCGTGGATAAGTACCAGACTGCCCGCCTTCACCTCGCCGGGCACGTAATCGCCGTCCTTTGCCTCCTCGTCTTTCTTCTCGCCATAGCTCTCCCCTACAGGGAACCGCGGCCCCTCGTTGGTCGCCATCTCTGTCCCTGTGTTGCCCGCCTTGCGGACCAGCCTCTTGGAGATGGGCGCCCACTTTGGATCGAACAGCTGGTATTAGCCTCGAAACTCCTGAATGGTCCCGTGCATAGCAGCGAACCTACCTTGTGCGAGCCCGGCAGAAAGCTCAGGCACCCGTTCTCCAGCGTCGCATCCTCGAGCGCATACCAGAAGCCCACGGCGCTCGGCGGGTCCGTGTACAAGAAGGTGCTGTCCTGGTGCGGGGGCACGGCGCCGCCGATCTCCGGCTGCTTGCATATGACCATGCTCTGAAGGCATCGCGGGTCGCGGTAGCCCAGCGAGCGCGCGACGGCCGCCGGGCGCGCCCTCATGCCCTCCGGCGCCGACGCCTTGGTCGTCCCCGCCGGCCCGAGCAGCGATGCGAACCGCGGGCTGAGCGCGTGCAGGTAGTGGCCGATCTTGTTGATGGCGCGCGCCTTGGGCTTGGTCAGGTTGCCCCTGTCGTCGAAGGCGTCCTCCTCGAAGAAGAAGCGGATCTTGTCGCCGCTGGTCAGGAAGTAGTCGTCGCCCACGTGGTCCTCGCCGTCCTCGCCGCCCGTGCTGAACTTGGTCATCGGGTGGTCCTCCAGCGAGAAGTCCTCCAGCAGCGAGTGCGTCTCCGCCAGCAGCGCGGAGACTGTGGTAGGGGGCAGTGCGTCCGGGACAATCAGGTAGCCGTCGCGCTCGAAGTCGGCGAGCTGCGAGGGCGTGAGGCCGCCGTCTGCTGGACCAGAGACCGTCATCATGTCTAGCCCTTGCCTTCGTCACGTCGAAAGGCACTAGCAAGGCAGTGTCAAACTACGCCGGAACGGATCTGTTAACTTTAGTGACTAGTGTTAGAAGACTAATAAGGATTGTTACTGTACTGTTGAGTAGGTTCTTATTTTGAAGCCCGGTATATCAGAAGAGTTAGAGTTACATTTACGTACATGCATCACATGAAAATGGTATGTTATCAGTAGCGGCAAGCGGCGGCTGACGAAGGTGGTGTGGAACCGACTATCCTTGGCTCACATCTTAAATCGACCTTCCGCTTCTCACTATAGCCCCTGATCAAGTAAAAGGGAACATATACATTCGCCGCTCATAAGCACTACTGAATCCTTCTTAACGTCAGTCTCACGACATTGTCCCGAGGGCCACATGGGAATAGAATCTTGAAGTCAGAGGGTATGGGACAGCATGAGATATTGTCAACTTAGTGCACAAAGCTCAATGATGGCCAAGGCGAAGTTCAATCGGTCATATTCGACATCATATGCTAATACACAGATGCCTCAAGTGAATGCTACTTGTATATGTATGCAAAGTCCGAGCCTCTTTCCCGGACCAAACTCCTTGGAGTGCAGTTATCTTCAAAGCAAATCAACCCATCCGACAAACGATTGGGGGTTACATCGGCAACTCTTCTTTCCAGAACAGTGACTCGAGTCCCTTCTCGGGCTGCCATATCAACGCCGCTGCTAATAACGAAAGTACCGTACTATCGACAAATGAAATTTAAATCCGTAACGTCGTCTTCTGTTGTACACAGACGCGTACTAGGGCACATGTACATGTAGTCTCCCTAATCAGTGACAGCAATGTCCTCAACCGTAGTCGCTGCGGCCTGGCCGTTCTCAGCAGGCGGTTTGGGCTGACCAGGTTGAACATTTGCTCGCGCCTTCCGCTGGGACTCAATGAAACGATCCCAATGTTCGGGATCCGCTTCTTTGAGTGCCCGGAGTACCTGCTCCTTGTCCTCCATGTAAACACGGATGGCCCCTTTCTCCTCGACTTTCTTCAACAGGTCCTCATCACCAAGATCATCAATCATTTCATGGAGCACCCGGACATGATTCGGATCAGCCCCGATCTCCTCAACACCTGAAAACAGCACATCGTAGTGCTGTGGCTTGAGCCAACTAGCGCGAAACTTGTGGCCAGCGCGGAGGACACGAGCTTCCTCATTGACGAGCGCCTTGGAAGTAAGTGATATGGTAGAGTTGGAGCGCTTCAGTGGCTCTCGGCTGATTTCCACTTCGTCTTCGGCATCTGAGATGGCAGCAGGAGCATCCGGTTCACCCTCGGCAGAGGATAGAGATGTCCCCAACTTATGACCGTCAGGCAGTGAAACAGATATGGCACTGTCGAAAGATTCTCTTGTTTCGGGATATTCATCTTCAAAGCGTTTAATGATTCCATCAAGAGTATTTTGAAGGAAGAGGAGACGATCTTTAAGTAAGCAGTTAGTGTTGGTACAATACACATTCAATACGAGAAAACTTACAGTAAGTGTTGGTGTCTGCCGAAGAGGTTTTGGCCTTGACAAGAGCAGGCTGTAGCCGATGCCTGATCTTTCTCGCGCTTACCAAGAGATGTTTCGACACGTCCTTGGCCTTACCAGAGGGTAGATGAGGTCTCTCAACCGGTATACCGGTCTCCACTTCACGTATGAACTCGCCAGATTGCCTGCGAGATTCGTCGCCGCGATTGTTGAGACAGCAAGCCAACGCCTTCGCTACTCCGGTGCCTCCAATGACATAATCGTCATCCGGAGCAACATCCTCCTCTTCTTCTGGTGTATCAGGAAGAAGAGCGTCCTTGCCAACCAGGTGCTGGAGGACATCTGGCACCACAGGTTCTGTACCAGTTGTCGTCGCCGAAGCCTCGCTCAATGCAGCCACCGCGTTGCCAAGAGGCAGGCGCTCCATATTCCGTAGACAGTATGCAACAACTTGCTTCGCCAGTGCTCTCACAATCTCGCCTGCAGCCTCGGTAGGGACATCAATATCAACAGCAACCAAGCTCTCTGATACTCTGGTTGCAGCGAGGAATGACGCATACAAGGCAGATGCCTCTTCCTGGGTCTCCTCGGTCTTTGCATCGGCGAGGCGAGTAAGCTCAGGGTTCTCGAGGAGGCTGATGTGAGCAAGGGATGGCATCTCAGGCAAGATCTCGGCCAGAGCGATTGCCTGATCAGAGTTCAATCCCACATCTGTGAGATGGATGCGCTTGAGATGAGCTAGTTTCGGTAGATATCTTCGAAGTACTCCAACGGCACTTGGCTCCGATTTGAATAGATCGTGGTTGTGTGATAAATCAATGAAGCGGAAATTCTGCAACCTGATCAACTTGGGTAAGAGCTTGCAAAGCGACCCTGGCTTGAGATTGCATTCGGCAAGGCTCAAAGCAAAAAGAGGGTTCTCGTCATCCAGTGCGTTTGCGACAACCTCCAACCGGTCGCGTAGGTCATTCCCACCAAGGTCCAATCCCTCACACTTTCCGCTGCGCAGGTACTTCTGGATATGTTCTAGTCCCTTGTTGTCAATGTTGTTGTGCGCAAGACCTAATCGACGAATGCCGCTTCTGATAATGCCATCGATAATCTCTCCTAATTGCTCGGTGCTCAAACCTGTCTCGCCAAGGTTGATCAATTCGAGGCATGATCCTGCTAATCTATCGCCGATCGATTTAGACAAAAGCTTGCAGAGGTCTAGGCCTGTTTGAGTGCCATTTGGTTGGTGTCCATGACCACTCTGTGCGTGCGAAGTTGCGGCCGGTTTGGGGAACGCAATATTGGAAACATCGAGAGCCTTGAGAGACCGACACATGTAGAGGAAGAGGCATAGGTGCTTCCAACCCTCTGGACCAATCTTGTTGTTCTTCAGAACAAGACGTTCGACGACGCCACCTTGATGAACGAAACCGTCGGGCTCGGTTATGGAACGTCTCTTCTTCCCTTCAGGTCTTCTCGCGGCGAGTAAGCCCGCGAGGATGACTCGGAGTCCTTCATCAGTCAGCCCGCAGTTCTCTAATACGACTTCCTTGATAGGAACGACCGCGAGATAATCTCCCAGGGTGACAAGATCGGCCAACTGCATCCAGTATCCAGTCAAATCTAGCTTCTCAACAACACCACCGGGCGAGGCATTCGAAGAGTTTGTGAGCTGCTCTGTGATCTTCTTTAGGATCGGAGTTTCTCGTAGTTGACAACATCTCCTATAGATTCGGACTGGATTAGTTGTTGGCAGTGCCTGAGTTCTTGGTGTCGTAACGCCATTCGTGGGTGTTGACGGGCTTGACGAATCGGAGTCAAGATGCAACTCCATGGGAATCTGGCCGTTTGCCTCAGCTAGCTTCCGCTTCTTTTCCTTGCGGGCCTTTCGCTCCTCTTCACTCTTCTTCTTCTTCTCTTTCTTCTTAGTATCACCAAGCTTTTCGGAAGTAGCATCGCCGCTATCCTTAATATCGGACGCCGGTGCCGGTTGCTCTATGCCCTCCCTTGGCGGCTCCTTTGGTAACCGCTCGCCGGTGGCTTTCACAACACCATTCAGCTCTTTCTGGTCCTCAAGGGCCTTTGGATTCTTTAGGGCTTCGCCCTCACCCTTCTCACTGATCTTGCGTTTTACGGTCTTATCGCAGGTTGGCACGCAGATCTTCTTCGAATCACCATCGGCGTATTTAGGCATTGGCGCAATCTCAACATCCACGCAGAATGCCACTCGGCGTAGTTTAGCCTGGTTGAGCTCCGCGAGCGCACATCTTTCTCGGCGGCGGTCAACATTTAGCACACGCCGCTCGACCAGACCATGATGGAGGCTCTTGATCCCCGGCGATAATTGCCCATTAGATGCCGATAACCTCCGGAAGACTTGCAGAAGGCCTGTCTGGCCGCTCTTCGGCGGGGCCGGGGTATACGGGCCCTCACCCTGGTACTTCGCAGCATGCTGCAATACCGCATTCTTCGCGGGGACGACCTTGGGGACAGATATCTCGGCCTGCTGGGCCGGGGCGTTGTTCGCCTGCGGGGGGCTTTGAGCGCCGCTGGTGCTGAACTTGTGGGAGATGTTGGAGAACCAGGACCCACGCCGTTGAGGGGAGGTGCCTGTGCCATTGGGCTCTGCTTTCTTCTCATTTGAATCCCGCCTCGTGAAACCGGGCCTTAGGGGTATTTGCTTCGGCGGAGTTGCTGTGGGTTTTGATGAGAGGTCGGCGTGGCCGTTGAGTGTGCTGGGAGGTGGCGGGGAGGAGGAGACCGGACTGGTCACTGGGGATTCGCGCGGCGATGGCTGCGACGAGAAGGTCGACCGTCGCTGGCCGGCAACTCTCGATTTGTCTGTAGATACATCAGCTAATTGATCTCCAGCGTCGCAAACCACCGTATCTGCTTCGCATGGCTGCGTAGAGTGCTGCGGGGGGTGGTGGTGGTGGTGGTGGTGGCGACATCTAGAGCGAGTCGAGCATACCTTTCGGAGCCCCATGGGTCATCCAGCTAACATCGATGCCGTGGATTTGCTCCATGTCGAGACAGTGGCCCAGGCTGTCTGGCGGAGCGATGAGTGGAATATATAAAGAGTCTTGGAGACGAGAAGCCAATCTATCGTCTTTTGGAGGGTGGAAGACGGTACTGGCAGGGTCTGGGCAAGAAGGCCTTAGTAAAGCTCGCGATAGGGTTCAGCTGGGGTGCTGGAGTCCAAGCCTGGGTGGTCGATTATTGGCGGGGTTCCATGTTCATGGGTACAGCCATCTCATGATCTCAGCGGCAACCCCAAGGTTCAGGAAGAAGATGGCCCCGATGCAGAACAGACGGGATAGGGTTTTTTTGGGGGGGAATGGACAGAAAAGAGTCGGAGGTGTGTTGAGGCTTACAAAACACATGGGAAAACAAAATTGAGGATGATAATATTACCTGCCTACCTCCTAGACCTGCCACTACCAGGAGTCTGCGCTGGTCTGACGGGAGGAACAGGGCTGGCGGATGACGGTAATCGAGGGTACAGCAGTCCGTTTACGGAAAAGATGCGGCTTAGGTGAGCCCATAAAGTCTCGTTGCCAGTGGTCGGCCCCGGTCCCTCCACTGCACTGGCCTGTCCTCAGTGCTGGTACCTGCACTCGCTGGGCCTTTGGATATCGTCTTTCGTCGGCCGCCTTTCGCCTGCTCGTACCTGGAATCAATTTGACAGTATTCAGAGGGATCAGTAATTTGTTAATTCGACGGATAAGATTGTAGGTAGATACGTGTGTAGGTGTTCAACCTAGAGCGACCATCCATTCCAACTACCTCCAAGATGGCGAAGCATCCCCCGTTCATTCACCTTCGCCCATCCAGATTCCACATGCACACTCATCCATTCACCCATCTACGATCTTCCTTTTCCCTCCCTGGTTGACTGCCTACCCAAGCACCGGACTCACCCTCCAGTGACGTCTAAAGTGCTAAGGGACCAGTCTGGGCCCTGTCAAACACGAATCATTTGACAGCACCGGCGCCCCAGTGCAGGGGGGGCGAACTGGAGCCACTGCGCCAGGGAACGAAAAACACCGCAGTGGCCGCTCACACCATTTCATTTGCCCTTTGCGACACAGCCAGACACAGCCAGGCTCTTGGTCGCCTTGACTGATACTAAGATAACGTCTTTTGACATGCTGTTTGCCCATTCAGATACCTGCTCTTTGTGAACATATATCATAAAAGTTCAGAGCAAAGATATAAAGTAATTAAGGATCTCTTCTCATATCTGATTCAAAGAAGGTTTCATTCCTAACCTCGCCGAGCTTCGCCGTAAAGTATCTAGTTCACCTGTCCATCCTGATTAATTACGCAGTAGGTACTCCGTACGCTACAGGAGAGTACCTTACCGGACTGTGGTCCCAGAGACCAGGGCCATATGCTGGTCTGAGCTCATAACCCATCTTCGTGCAGCAAGATGGGCCCCACCCTGCGATTTTCCGACCTGTCGACGGTCCCCCAGGAATCATCGGCGGATCCTTTCCTCGCATCGCCGCCGGCGGCGCCAGCACTCCGACGCTTAGAAATCCAGGGCATATCAATGATTTTGCGTATCGCTTTGCCTACCTCACTCGTCCCATAAACACGCCCAACTCCGCCGAGATAGTAGAGATAACCAGAGAGAGATAACAGCGCAGTAGTGTCTCTTCGTCAAGTGAAATACGATGATAGGAAGTGAAGGCACGCTAGACTCAAGCGCTGACTTCGATATCAAAAAGAATTTCCACACTCAGGTGTCGAGAGAGTAGGATCGTCATCCAACTTGTCCCTCCATGGAAGACGCTATTACGTCCGGCGAGTTTCGGAATGCAGGCATGGCAACATCCAAATCCATTGAACTTTTCCCTTCGTCGCAATTCCATCGTGTCCTCAGTAGGCTGGATGAAGACACCCGGCGCGCAGCAGAGGGCTGACCAGGCAATGCATAACTGGCCACTGATGTGCAATTCGTAATCCCCACAACAACCAATATGCAGTCGGAATGCTGAATAACGGCGCTTCATCTGATCCCGATTCCGTGGAGCCCGCAGCCATGTGCCACTCTCGCGGGCAGTATGACTTCATACCTGCAAGTGCGTGCCACTCGCAATGCTGGAAAGTGACTTGAATAACGGGAGCGTTTCTACTTTATCCCTACACCACATCGATTAGTCTTGAATACTCGCTGCACCCCACAATCTTTGAACACTTTGAGCATGGAACGTGTTGATCCCTTGAATGCCGAGAGTAACCAGCCCGGCTGCACGAGTGCAATGTCACAAGAAAATGGTCACCTGTACCGTTTAGCGGTAACGCAGTAGGCGGCTGCTACAGGCACGTCACATAGCACGATGGACCCTGAGAATGCTGGGTGCTTTTGAACTTAGATCATTTTTCATTGGCGTTCATTAAACCCTGAGTATGAATCCCTTCCCCTTTTGCAAGTGAACTCCTAAAGACAGATGCCATGAATGCCGAGATGCCCAATCCATCACCACGCGCGCTTAAGCGTTGAGGAGCTCAGCAATCTTCTCCTGGACTCTCTTCTCCTTCTCCGCCTTGCTCAGCTTGGTGGACCTGTACTTCTTGGACTCGGCCTTCCACTCCTCCTTGCTCTTCTTGGGAGCATCGCTCTCGTACTTCTTGAAGGGATCCTCACGGATGGCCTTGTGGGCCTCAGTGTAGATGTCCTCAATACCATCAGCCTCGATGTCATCATCGATGTACTTCTGGAACTGGCTCTTGTAACGCTCCTCATCGTCGTCGGCCAGAGTCTCCATGTACTCGGCGACGTGGCCGCCGTAGATGTACTTGCGGAGGGTCTCGGCGTCCAGCTCCTTGGACTCCATGTCGTAGCCGGGGAATCGGTTCTCGGAGTGGGGGATGAGGATACCACCGTCGGAAGCACCCTTCATGGCACCGAAGACACGGGCACCAGTGGAGGTACGGTGCAGACCGACATCCAGGTAAGCCTTGAAGGGGCGGCGCTCGCCATCGTCGGTCTCAGCGGCCTCGGTGAGGGTGTACTCGCCATCAGCCTCCTCAACACCGGTGAAGTCCTCGTCCAGACCCAGCTTCTTGAGCACACGGCGGGCAATCAGCAGGCCGGTGGCGTAGGCAGCAGCCCAGTTGGTAAGACCGTGCTCGATGCCGTAAGCCTTGAGCTCGTGGGCGTAGGCAGAGGCGAAGACCTTGTCGCCAGTGATCTCGGAGGTCACGATCTGCATGATGATGTCGCGGTTGGTGAAGCGGACGACCAGGCGGTACTTGGGCGCATTGTACTTGTTCTTGGCCTGGGTGATGAGCCTCTTGCGGGCATAGTAGTCGGTCTTGCCTGATCTTCTGCGCTTGTACTTGGTCTGGAAGCGACTGTACCCATGTCAGTAACCCCAAGGCCGCAGTGCATGAGAAAGATAAAACTCACCTGTAGTACGCGCTGTTCTTGACAAGCTTGTGGAAGGTCTGTAATGAATTTCCCGAGTCAGCAATTTGCGCTTCAGATCTTGAATCCTTCTTCCGAAGCATCTTGCATTGACTCTAGACATTTCTGTCCCTCCTCAAAATTCAATTGCAATGCCATCGCAGGCATTGCAAGAGTAACAGTCTCAACTCACCATCTTGACGGCTTGGCTGGGCGGCGATTCCACTCAGTTTGTTTGTGAGGTTGTCTGGTCGTGGATCAAAAAAATGTCAAGATCACGGCTTCAATTGTGGGCAAAGTGGGCAGGAAATTTTGGCCCCACTCTGCCCTAACAGCTGCAGCAGCTGGAGCTGATCGAAGATTTGGTCGGTTACGAGCACGCGCTTACTCACGTGATCATATATCTTATCGCCAATCCTTATCGCTCCTTATCAATGCCGAGGTAACTCACCTTCAAACCATTGCGGATTCGGTTCTCCGGTAGGAGGCACCTACCTACAAAGTGATTTCATTGGTGATGATCACAACTTCAGGGCAATGTAGATTGAGTGAGTAGGACACATATTTGGTACTCAGTGCTAGGTTTTTTTTAAAAGCTGGAGAAACCAAGATGGCCAGCCAGAAACAACCAAAAGTTCTCCTCTTCGACATTGGAGGTGTCTGTGTAAGTCAATACATGCGATAATCGTAGAAGCAGCATAGGGTTTTGTTTCGAAAAATATGTTTTGTGGGAGTCTGACTGACCAAGTACAGGTCGTCTCACCGTTTCAAGCCATTCTTGACTACGAGCTCAGTCTGGGTATCCCCCCAGGATGGGTGAACTATTCCATATCCAAGACGGCTCCACACGGATTCTGGCACCGTCTTGAAAGGGGCAAGATTCCTATGGACACTGCCTTCTTCGATGGATTTAACAAAGATCTCCATGACACAGTCAGATGGGAGGCATTTTACAAGGCACAGCGAGCCAAGGACCCGAGTCTGCCAAAAGAGACTCCACCTCTTCCGGACATTGATGGGGAATGGCTTTTTAACGATATGATGACTGCATCTAACTATCCTGATCCATGGATGTTCCCGGCTCTGAAGAACCTCAAGGCGAGCGGAAAGTACATACTCGCTGCTCTTAGCAACACTGTCATATTTCCAGAGGGCCATGCTCTTCATCAGCCTGACTTTTTTGGCGATCCGGTCCGGAGTACATTTGATGTCTTCATTTCATCGGCTCATGTTGGTCTCAGAAAACCAGACCCGAGCATATACCAACTCGCGCTCAAGGAGACAGATCGATTTGCTCGAAATCATGCTAATGGCAGGGGAAAGGATTTAGGCTGGAGCGAAGGTGTGAAGGCCGACGACATTCTATTCCTTGACGATATTGGCGAAAATCTTCGCGAAGGTAGGAAACAGGGTTTCCGCACAATCAAGGTGCCACTGGGACGAGCGTACGAGGCTGTAGAAGAGTTGGAGAAGATAACGGGTTTAAAATTAGCTGGTGACCATCCAAAGGTTCCTATAAAACCAAAGTTGCCAGAAACTAAGGCAAAGATATGATAATCTATCTAGAATAACACTAGTGAAGACTCCGGTGCCACTCTTTGTCGGGTTATTCAAGCGGTATTCCGAGCGACATAGACATACAATGCATCAACCATGGCTACTTTCCCATCCACTGCATCTTTCACGAACTCTTCCTTGAAGACGGAGCGTGCCTTTTCCTTGAACTCGTCAGTCATGAGGTGGATAGTAAGCGGAGTATTTGTGATATAGTCAAACTGCTGATCTGCTTCGTCGATACTATAGTAGGTGTACCGCTCGCCACTTGTCTTGTCCAGCAGGACCACATTCTCAACAGTAAGGCCTTCCCTTTCAAGAATCTCGCGAAAAGAGTCTTCGGATTTTATCCAAGAACGATTTGCGGGAAACTTCAAGTTTAGCCGCATAGTGACCCGCTCAAGCATCAGTCCTGAGCAGAGGTTATGTTCGTGGGTGATGTCGATGACCATCGCACCTCCTGGTTTGAGGTATTCGCGCCAATGTCCTACGACTTGGGCAGGTTCGTCAAAGAGGACGAACGCATTTGAACACATGATAACATCAAATGATTCCTTTTCTACTTCTAGGAGGGTTTGTAGGTTCGTCACATCATGGCGAAATGTTTTGATGCGGGACCCTAGCATGGGCTCCCTCTGCTGCCTCTTCTGAAGTTCATCAAGCATCCCCTGAGTAACGTCAACTCCGATGACTTCTCCTTCATCTCCTACAATTTCAGCTGCTAGAAACGCCTCCAAACCAGTGCCGCAGCACAGATCTAGAACACGGTCGCCTTTGCGGAGCGGAACAAGCTTCGTGAACCGCAGAGAATAGTCGGGGTGCCAGCCGTCTTCATATTTTGCTGCGCGTGAGTTGTACATCCGTTGAGCAGCCTCAACTTGAGTTTCTGTTCCAAATTGTTTCGCCATGCTATAGAGAATCTTTGGGTTTGTGAAAGACTTAGTCTCGATATGCTAAGACAAGTGCGAGAGGCTTCTACTTGACATGGACAACCTGATTCAGCCTCGCCCCAACATTAAATAAGCGGCTGCAAATGGCGCGTTGGTTGAATTTGTCAATAATACGAGTTACGAGTCAAAATCACTGGGTGAGTCATTTATGTCCGTCGTAGCAATCTCGGGGCAATGTTGCATGGCCATTATGTATGACAAGGACCCCGCTTTACCTGTTGACTTCAGGGAGCCTTAACACTCCAAGATTCCGAGACAGTGTTGCAAGAGAAAACCGGACTTTCTTGCAGCTTCTTGACTCTGCAGCACCTCTTCGATATCACCCCTGAGGTCGGTTGGCTTCAAACAACGGGTTATATTCCAGCGACAAGATTCACTTCAAATTCTCGGCCTCAAACCTAAACAGTTGAAATGAGGCAACCGTATCGTCCAAGTATGACATTCAGACAGCAGTTGAAGTAGGTAGCAGATCATGCATGAACACTATCCATAGTTGAGTATTTGGGGAGGGATCTGCTTGTAAGAGGAAGGGTGGCGTACAGCCTATTTTGTTCCATGCTAGAATACCACTATCTTCACGTTTATCTAGCTGCTTCCCCCTTTCAGGTTCTTCCTCCTGTGATCACCATCATTCTCTACGAATGATAGGTCACACTGTATCCGCTAAGGCCAGTTGTGGAACTATCAATGGAGATGGTTCCATCGGCGTTGATGTTAAGGTACTTGCCATTCTCCTTCTGGAGGGCGTACTTACCACCGCCGAGGTAAGTGATGTTATATGTCTCAGCGCCGCTCTTCAGGGTGGCCAAGCTGGTATGCTGGGAGATGTACTTGCCATCCACGGCGCTGGTAACGTAGAACTCGGTACCTTCGTCAGCGAGCTGGTGTAGGACCCATCGTTGGTGGATGTCCTCGTGCTGGGCGGTAGCGGCAGTAGTGGTGAACTGGTTTCCGGAGCCAGGGTTGGTGATGGCAAAACCATTGGACTCGAAGACGACGTAGTGGCCCTCTAGCAGATTTCCACGTAGACCCTTGAAACCGTCCTCAAAGAAAAGAGCATCCTCCTCTGTCTGATTGCCATAGGGAATTCCTACAACATACTGGTCGCTAGAGCAGCTACCACCATAGGTACCGCTGCAGAAGCCACTCCACATACCAATGATATTGCCATCGGAGTTTGTCATTGGGTAATCAGGCTTGGGTAGCTCTGGCTTAGTATAATCAGGCTATTTGTACTTTTGTCAGCGAAGGTCTGGATCATAGCCAGGAACATAAATACTCACGTTCTCGAAGTCAAAAGCGTTCAGGAGGTTGGACATGTGCTCGCGTCGCCAGTCAGACATCTGCGACTCAACAGTGATGTTGCTGTAACCCTTGACGGCCAAATATTGCTCTATATTTCAGTCTATCAGCTTATGGGAAAACCACTCTGTAACTCAAGACCACTTACCCAGGAAGAGGAGGATCGAACTGTGATCAGCACGCTCGGTGAAGACATGTCCACCGCGGGTGAAGGGAGAAACGATGATCAGTGGGATACGGATACCTAAAAGTTTGTTAGTACTTGCTGTGCGATAAGTCACAAATCGTACTTACCAGGTCCAGAGTAGGTATATCCGAGTTCTCCATAAGGATCCTCGAACCATTCTCCAGCGGTTCCCTCAGGAGGAAGAAGGGGCTTAACAGCGTCACCCCAGCCACCAGCCTCTGCTTGCAGGTTAGAATTTTTAGATTCTCTTCGAGTAGATAATAAGAAAAGTGTAGCATTATATTTACTCACCATCGTAGTTGAGCATGAAGATGGTCTCGTTGTAGTTGGGGCCATCAATGATTGACGAAACGATCTGGTCAATAAACCAAGAACCATCCTTAGGAGTCTTGGGAGGGTGCTCCTGCAGGGAACCAGGAGGGAAAACCCAAGAGACAGCAGGCAGAGTGCCGTTAGCAGCGGCAGCTTTGAATGCGTCGAGGCCATTGTCACCGTCGAACGCAAGGCCTCGCTGGTACAGGCTTGAGTTCACGGGAGCGTCTTGGAAAGCCTTGAAGTAGAACAAGCCACTGTTAGTTGCCCAGTCCCAAGACTCCTGGTACGACCGCCAATCAATGCCAGCTTCGTCGAGATATTGGGCAAATGCTGGCCACTGGAGGGGAAGACAGTCGAGGTTCTCACCCCAGCAACCTAGACACTTAGCTTTTGTTACTCTATAGACTGGCTATGATTTCTTACCAGGGCTTTGGTTGTTGTCTAGCACAACTCCACCAGCATCTATTGGCAGCTTTCCTCCAGGAACGTTGATTGTACCAGACTTGGTTGTATTAGTGGCTATCACTCAGGCTTGCAGAGACAAGCACAGCGGGAAAGAGCGAGAAGTTAAGATGGAATAGATGCTTACCTGCCAGAACCAACGATTCGGGTCTGTGTTACTGGTAATTGCAGCCTGAAGTAATAGATTAGCAAGGGATAGAAGCAAGAAGTTTTAGGATCAACGCAAACACATACATGATACGCGTCGCTAATCGTGTAGGACTCGGCCAACTTGAAGTGGTAGGGAATATCCTGTTGCTTGAAGTAACCCCAAGACTGAGGTGTAGAGATCTGCGCCCACGCGTTGTTGAGACCATCATTCAAAGACTGGTGGGTAGGAATCCAGTTATTGGCACCAGCACAGAGACACTGGCTCTTGTTCGCCGACTCCTCTCCACCCTGGTAATTAAGGTAGTATGGTAGAAGCCAATCCGCCTCGTCAGTGACACCAGTCAGATTTCTAAAGTACTCGGTTAGATCTGCCTTCATGATTACGATACGATATCAGCTTCAAAATCTCAGGAGCGCGTACTGGTACCAAACAGAGCGGCCATCAGGGTTGACCTGAACATTAGGATCGGCGAAACCACGAACACCGGCCATGGTGCCAAAGTACTGCAATTATTAGAATACACACAACATGACATAATACGCAGAATACAGATCATTGTGTAACTGACATGCTGGAATGATCTGTTCTCCATCATCAGCATGACAACATGCTTAACATCCTTGAGCGACGCCGCGTTGGCGGCGCTGGCAAGCGCCAACAATGAAACGAGCTTGGACTGTATGGCCATGGTTCCGAGGTGGATCTCCTTGAGGCTGATGATCGACAGGGTGCAGGATCTGGGCGCAAGTCATGGCGGATATCATCTCTATTTATCTTCACGCCTAGCGAAGCCATGATGGTCAAGTAGATATGAACATACAGATTCCTCGTACATTTTCCGGTAAATAGGCCCGTTCTATGTCCGTTGGAATGTGTTCTCGAAGCCTAGCGAAGGTAGGTCATCGCATGGCAGCAGTCAAAGTAGGTACCACATGTGTAATTGCTCTCATGCTGTTGGTCCATGATCGCTGACCCCACACGACATTCAACGCGGTGCCAGTCTGATGACAGGGACTACCTGGACAAGAGGAAGGCATGGGGTATACACATTGGGGCTCAATTGCGAAGGGAAAGCATGCTAACATTTCCAAGGCCCATCTCGTCCCACATTTGACGTTCGGGGTTTATGAATAGGCGTCTTGATAGTCTCAAAGCTACTACTCGAATTCGGAACTCGGTAAGTGGGCACGAGTTCTCGATGCCTATTCTTGCATTTTGAGTGGTCATAGTCTACGTTGGCTTCTGCTAACATATTCTCCTCAGTTTCTCATGTACGTCTTTCTCGCACACTTGGTTGAGTTAGTTGCTCACTATCGAAACATCAGCTGGTCTTGCGATTGTTCTAGCATTTGTTGCTATTACATTCTGAGAAGCTTAGGAGCCAGGTACAAAGTTCATCAGGTAACAAGCTTATTAATGTTGCTATTGTCCTTTAAGATGATTGCATAGTCAATAGCAAGAGAGCGGTATCACGTCAACAAGCCATGATGTTCTTGTCCCGAAGCCATCTAGAACGTTCATTCCCACATTAGTCTTAAATGCAATAAAGTCCATTGCCATAATTAACGTGCAGACCTTTGTTTAGAATACTGTCAAACTTGGGTGACAACCACGAGGAGGAACATTATGAGCTAGACACAACTATTACAGCGGACCAAATGAGATGAGGAGATAGTCTTGTTGAACTAAGAGAAAGGATTCGTCATCCTCTCTTAGTCTTGAAGGAAGAGAAGGGTATGTTACCTACACATTCGATCACAAGAGTGTAGATAGTAGAGTAGCAATACAGTATCGGATGTCTTTACCTACCTGATATGGTTGTGGGACACTGTCATGTATGGACAGGAACATGCAGAACGGTCAGGGGTTATGTTGTTAGGTGGACCCGCTACTGCACGGGCTTTGGCCTAAGAAACCGTGCCGCACATAGACGGCAAACGGTCAAGGCTACACCAGCGCCGCCACAACGCCGCCAACGGTGATGGCCAGGTGCTTAACTAGACCTCAATAGATGCAGCGATCATCCGCATCCTGGCACCACACGTGTGCTGGCCAGCAAATCGTCTCTGCCATGGCCGCCCACGTGTTAGACGATGCAGGCACCACGCCTAGATTAATTCAAGAGACGCAAACCTGCTGCTGCAAGATGATGGGGCCCCTCGGTGTCGAATCTGTCGATGCTCCTTAAGAAGTCTCGAAATATTCGAAGGTGTCGGATGCTGCCATGGAACCGTTGGGATAGGGAAATTGAGGCCTAGCTTCTGCATAGAAGTTTTCGCCATTTGGGCTTGCGATCGCTCAAGTAGTCACAGAACTACGATTGGACTTTTACTGTCAGCTGGATCCCGGCCTTCTGTTGCATCAAACATCCCCATGGGCCACGATGCTGGAAATGCATCTGGCTGGACAGCAACTGGGTGACAGGCAAGATGCCGCCTACTTTCATCCCAATCCACCTCGCGGTGCGAGACGGTGTCACAATTGCAGGATAATCATCGGCAGCCTCTTGGTTGTCCTATCAACGTTCTTCGTCCTCTTCTTACAGTGGAATTCCGGCGTAGTGAATGTATTACACATGAATCTGCCACAGCCGGTCAATGGAGACACCAATGCAGAGACAGATGTCTCGAACCCTGCTTCTGTCCACTCTATGAGAGATCTCAAAATCTTGTTGCATCCTGAAGACCATGTATCTCGAGAGACGCAAGTCACATATCTCTCCTGGAATATCACCTCTGGTGACATAGCCCCAGATGGAGTGGTAAAGAGAGTCCTTCTTATAAATGGTGAGTTAAGGAGACGATATTCACGTGGAGCATTATTGTGTTCCGGGGTTGCTGATGGTTGTTAGGTCACTTTCCTGGCCCTACGATAGAGACACGGTCTGGAGACGTTCTCGAGGTTGAGGTCTTTAACTTTCTCGATGTGGGCATATCTCTACACTGGCATGGTCTCTATATGAAAAGTATGTTTGAAGAAACTTCCATTCAGAGCACAGCTCGCTAATAATCACTCACAGATGCGAATTATATGGACGGACCGGTTGGCATCACGCAATGTGCCATATCACCAGGAGGAAGGTTTACCTATAGAGTTCCCATTGGTGCGCAAGCGGGAACATTCTGGTGAGGCTAACACGCACTCGCACTTGAGATAAAGGAACTAAAAACGTAGGTATCATGCACATTCGGAAGTCCTGCGAGGGGATGGTCTCTACGGCGGATTGGTGGTTCACAATCCCGATAGTCGAGAGCAAGATTCCTATCAATATGATAAGGAGTTACTGTTTCTGGTGGGCGACTGGTACCATCGCCCTGCAAAGGAAGTACTAGAGACATTTATGAGTCCTCTCGCAACTGGAAACGAGGTTTGCGATTGCTTTCTCAAGCTTTCATCAGCTAAGCTAACCCTGATAGCCGAATCCCTCCTCCCTCGTCATTAATGGATTGGGCTATTTCCAATGCTCGATGGCTCTGCCTGCGGCTCCTGTGAATTGTAGCGAGATACAAAAGCCTTGGATGCAAGTGAATAAGACCGAGCGTTATAGAATAAGGCTGGCGAATGTCGGGTGAGTTGCATGAACCAATTCAATTTAACCATTGTCTATTCGAGCTAAGATCTAATTCTAGTTCCTTGACTGGGTTCTCCTTCTCGATCCCAGACTCTGAGATGAATGTTATACAATTAGACGGCGGCCACTCCGTTGTCAGCCACACCTCCAACAGCGTTGGGGTCCTTTTTCCTGCAGAGAGAGTTGACTTCGTTGTTGGCTGGAGTGAATGGGCCAGAAATATTGACAGTCAAATTATCATCGATCTTGACCACGAGTGAGTCGATATCACATAGTCAGTCTCCTAGCATACAATTGTGTAACTCTAACGCCCGACAGGTATTTCATAGACCAAAATTTCGCTCTCAATCCAACCCAAGCGTTTCAAATTTCTGCAGAGGCCTCACCAGATAACCAAGAGGATCACTCGGTTCCAAAGAACCACATAGACCTGAATCAATTTGACCTTCAAACCGCAAAGGGTCCTAACCTAGCCCAGCCGCTTCCAGATGCTAGGGAGTCCATTCTACTCTATAGCTCGATACAGATACTGTCACATGAGAACTACCGCCCAATGGGTTTTATCAACAGGACTTCATGGCGACCACTGGACTTACCACTGATAGCTATGGATCGCGACGAGTGGAATAAGCAGCAACTCGTTGCTTGGACCGGATCTGAACCTGGCTGGGTTGATCTAGTAATCAACAATCTCGATGGGGCGCCTCACCCTTTTCATCTTGTATGATCCGCCTCAAATCTATGCCACTTTTTGTCTGGATTACTAATAACCCAATGTAGCATGGGTTCGACTTCTATGTGGTTGCATCTCACCAAGGTGTCACGAGTTGGGACTATTACAACCCTTACGACCCGTCGAGGCCTCCCCGCGGCGGGCCTTTCAATTTGATCAATCCACTAAGGAAAGATACAGTCCTTGTACCGGCATTCGGATATGTAGTCCTCCGATTCTTTGCCGATAATGAAGGCATTTGGGTACTACACTGTCATATCTTATGGCATCAAGGCTCGGGTATGAGTATGGCTTTACAAGTATTGGGCGATGAACACAACGGTTTCAGCACCACATCAATCGGGCAGAACGCCAAGGAGTTCTGCCTAGCGCAAGAGAAAGACAACGCAAGGTAGTGGACCGGATACTTAGCCATCCTACTGCAATGGAATACAAGTCCAAGGGCATGGGCTTGTGTTTCGATATCTGCTTCCGATGTTGCTCTATTGCATGTTTGAAATCAAAGACCAGACACCTGTGAGGCGTACACCTGCTCAAGACCACATGCGATCATCCGAGAAAGCTTTGAGTCTCTGACGTAAAGCAGCGATACGGCGAAACTCGGTGATAAGGACAAGGTGTACAGGTGCCCTGTGTTGGCTCTGAGAACCTTGTCACAAGTGCGCGGTAACATCCTTCACTCCCCTGTAGATGAGTTGGCAGGAGAAAGCCCAGGAAGCTATGAGTAACCAATTGGGATGCAGATTGAAATTTTAATTGAAACCAGCAGCACAAAATACTGTTGTCAGCCTAGCTAAGTTGCCCTATGTGTGTGCCATAGCCGCCGTACTTGGCCGGATTAACGGCCTCTAAATGCCAAGGCTCACCACCATGCACCACTAACTTCATTAAAAGAAGTCGTGGGCAGTGGCGATGGACTTATCTTTCCGGATGTAAGCGTATGGTAAAAGTTGGCTTATTCTTGGAGCAGAATGTCTTTAGAGTCATGTCTCTGCCACAAGCTTTACTGAATGTAACGTATGGTGAAGCAGGTTAACAATCATGAATCCCAAGAGACACTGGCAGTTATAAGGAAGGAAAATGGCTCTTCCGTCAAGTTCAACATTTCCTATCATCTGTGAATGTCATCTTCATTCATCGAGAACTAACCCATGTGGCCCTGGTCAGCTCTAAGCGACCATTGTCAAATATCTCTGATACTATAAATAAACTTCGATAGATCACGATGATCTATACCTCACAATTCAAAGGTGGTTCAAACTGTTAACTTGGAATTTTCGAATAGGAATGACGGGGACCATCAGCTATCAGTATAGCATCTTATCTTCATCTGACATACCCGTGAGTTGGCACACGGATAGGATGATATATCTGAGCCCGAGCA